CTGTCACATGAATGCGTGATCTGGCAGGAAGCCATTTTAGTGACGACTTGTTGAAGTCACTATGGCTTTCGCGTACAAATAATAACTCTAATAACATACAAATAATTCATTGCTGCTTTCAATGAAGATCTAAACCTGTTTAGCAGCAATGGCTGACAAAATTAATGAACTTGTTACTCCAGCTTATGTCAGTGGCTGCTAATGCTGCACCTTCCAAGTTCATCCCTCGAACAAAAAGTGGCTGAATTGACCAAAAAAGTATCTGAACTCTCTACAAGTCTTCATGCTTCACGGAGATACAATCGATCAAATCAGGGCCCACGTAATAAATTTCTTGCCCGAAGCAGGAAGTCAATCTCGTCACAATACTCGAACGCAGTACAAAGAACCCACAAGTGGCATATGTTTTTATCATATGAATTTTGGCGCGCAAGGCTCGCAAGTGTGCCCCTCCATGCACTTTTGTAAACAAGCGGGGGAAACTAAATGGGCGGTCTTCTGCTGGCCAACAGAATGTCCGCCACATCGACAGAATTGAATACAGACTGGCTGATCGTTCAACTCAGTTATGTTTTCTAGTAGATACTGGAGCTGACATATCAGTGCAAATCCGATCTAGAACTAAAACAAATGCTCACCAACTTAATAAACTTGTACTGTATGCAGCAAATGGTACCCAAATTGCAACCTTAACGGCACCAAACTATTGAACACTTGATTTGAACTTGCGCCGGGACTTTCAACTGGCCTTTTATTATTGCGGATGTAACTCAAGCAATTATTGGTGTCGACTTTCTTGACACATTTCCACCTTCTAGTGGATGTCAAGAATAATTGCTTAATTGATGCTACAACTCAGCTGACATCACAGGGCCAAGCTTCTCACATATCGAATGTACCTACCAACATAAGTGTTGTATTGGGTGAGCACACGGTTTCATCGGTTATTAGCAGAATTCCCTGACATTTTAAAACCCATCCAAATCCAGGGCAGCAGCATACTCATCAGCCAGAAGGTGTATCATCACATTGAAACACATGGCCCACCTGTATTTTCCAAGCCTCGTCATCCTTTCTCCAGAGATGCTAAAGGCTGCTCGCAAAGAAATTTGAATTCATGCTAGCACAGGGAACCATTCGCCCATCTAAAAGTCCATGGGCCAGTCCACTTCACGTGGTTAAAAAGTCTAATGGTGACTGGCGGCCTTGTGGAGATTATCGTCGACTTAATGCCATCACAGTCCCTGACAGATATCCAGTCCCACATATCCAAGACTGTACCCATCTTTTTCATGGAAAAACACATATTTTCTACCCTCGATCTTGCCAGAGCATATCATCAGATCCCAGTGCATGCTGAAGATGTGCCCAAGACCGCAGTGACTACACCATTTGGCCTCTTTCAGTACTTATATATGCCATTTGGCCTTCGCAATGCTGGCCAAACATTTCAGCGTTTCATACACCAAGTACTGTCTGGCCTCGATTTCTGCATTCCCCTATTTTGATGAATATCCTGGTTGCATCTACAGATGCGGAAGAACATTTTCAACATCTGCGTCAGATTAGATTTTCACTCGTACCTTAAAGATCATGGATTAAAACTAAATCCATCCAAAATGTGTACTTGGTCAACCCTCAGTTTCCTTTCTTGGATGTCTTATCACCCAGAATGGAGTCAAAACCTTTACCGGAAAGAGTCAACAGCAATTAACGACCTACCTCAGCCCAAAAACCATCTCTGAACTGAAGCATTTTCCTAGCAATGTTAAATTTCTACCGACGCTTTCCTGCCAAATGCCGCAAAAACAAAAGCCTCTGCCTACATGAGTTTCTGAAAGAATAGCAAAAAAAAAAAAAAAAAAAAAAGAAAGAGATCAACGAGCTGTCCTATCTTCCTAGGACTGAATCTGCATCTGCAGCATTCGTGCAATGCAAACACGATCTGGCAAATGCAGCCACACTTTCTTATCACTCAACCTAGTGGATCAGCTCTCTATAATGGTAGATGCATCTGACACGGCCATAGGAGCAGTGCTTCAAGCCCATACCAATAAAGGACTTTCCCCAATGGCATTCTTTTCCAGAAAACTCACTACTGCAGAAAGGAAATACAGCACATATGACAGAGAGCTACTTGCTGTGTACTGTGCTATTAAATACTTCCGGCACAACTTGGAAGGACACGACTTCATCATTTTCACCGATCATCAACCATTAACCTTCGCTTTTAGGAAAAACTCTGACTCATGTTCTCCTCGTCAGCTTCGACATCTGGATTTCATCGCCCAGTTTAGTACAGATATCAGATATGTCTCTGGTACTGATAATTGTGTCGCTGATGCCTTGTCTCGGGTAAACAATATCAACCTCACTACCCCAGATTTCTCTGAAATTGCAAAAGCTCAATTGCATGATGAGGAACTCAAGAACCTAATCTCAAATCCACAAACCTCCCTTCAGTTACAACCGCTGCACATTGATCCAACGCTTAAAATTTACTGTGACATAGAGAACAATAGAATACTTCCCTGTCAATTTTAGACGTGAAGTATTTAATGCCTTGCACAATTTGGCACATCCTGGAATCCGTGCCACCAAAAAGCTGATCGCAGACAGATTTGTCTGGCCAGCAATGAATCAAGACATCACAGAATGGACTCGTTCATGTATTAGATGTCAATGGTGTAAAGTATCCCGTCACACTCACAGCCCCATTCAACAATTTAACCTTCCAGCAAGACGCTTTGATTATGTGCACTTAGACTTGGTTGGCCCATTGCCTCCTTCAAATGGTTACACTTACCTCCTCACTTGTATTGATCGGTACACAAGATGGCCTGAAGCCATTCCTATTGAAAATATATCCGCTGAAACTGTAGCTCAAGCATTCATCTCCCAGAGGCTTTCAAGATTTGGCATGCCTACCACCATCACTACTGACCAAGGCCGACAATTTCAATGTCACTTGTTCGCATCCCTCACCTCTCTTCTTGGCATTCGCCATATTTGCACAACACCATACCATCCATCTGGAAATGGGATGGTGGAACGCTTTCACCGATCTCTCAAACAAGGTCTGAAGTGCCACAGTAGCACACACTGGACAGAAGCCTTACCCCTAGTCTTGCTTGGTCTTCGCACAGCATTCAAAGAAGACATTGGTAGCACTTGTGCCGAAATGTTATATGGTGCAACCCTCCGTCTGCCAGGTGAATTCTTTCACCCAGAATCTACTCCAGTTATCGACCCTCCAACATTCCTTCAACGTTTACGTGAGATCATGAGCAATATCTCGCCAACCCCAGCATCTTCGCATAACCAGCCAAGCTATTTTGTACATCCTGCGCTTGAGACATCTTCGCACGTATTCGTGCGCAACGATGCAATCAAGCCAACTTTAACACCTTCATACGATGGTCCATTCAAAGATGTCAAACGAACACCGAAACATTTCACCATCATCTGCAATGGCAAACAATCAGTGATTGGAATCGATCGTCTCAAACCAGCATTTCTAATGCAAGATCCAACAACTTCCTCATCAACATCACTCCCGGAAGAAAGCTTACATCCCGTTAAAGAGCAACCTAAAACTACCAGATCTGGAAGAAAGGTTAAATTTAACCCAAAGTACTTATAACGTACCGATGGTACTTGGGGGGGGGAGTACTGTGGCGTTCCGACAGATACCTCAACTTCTATTCATGAGATGGCGCCACGTGTAAAATCCAGTTCTTAATCGGAGCAGCAAAGCGACATCTTTACTCACTCAGACTTCTCGTCACACAACTGTACGCGAAGGTAGCATGAACTGTGTTCCGAGCTCTGTGTTGATCTCTGCAATGTAATTTAAATTGTAATTTAGTATTTAATATATTTTTTTTGTTATAGGAGATTGTCTACTCTTATTTTCTTTAATTATATCATGCATTAAGCACACACGACCACCAAATGTATGTGGAAATAAGGATGATCCAATCCATTATATTTCAATGTCCCTTAACAAAGTCAAATCATATTAAATTGCCTAATTCAAATATCAATGCCTTCCTTCGTTTTGTGATTACCAACAAATATTTAAAAAATAAAATAGAAAATACAATCAAATATTTATATTCAATAGGCAAAAATATATGTGAGCACTAAAGTAATTAATGTCAAAACGCATTTTTGAAGCTGCAATTCATCTAAAACATTTATTATCTAATTATCTTAAAAAAAAAAAAAAAAAAAAAAAAAAGGGGGGGGAGAGAAGAGGAAGAAGATACAAATTCATATAATAAACTTTATCTCAAGGAACTATCATGAAATTTTATAAATTATGACTGTTAGCCTACTATTATTATACCTATTATAACTTCTATAATTATATCTAATAGATATGATATCAATCAAAATATTGATATACTATTTATTCTGTTATATTCTGTGTTATATTATACTATGTACCATTTTGAATATTAACTTTAAAAATAAACCGAACTGTAGTGGGACTATACCTACATTACTTAAAGTAAACATTGGCTGTCCCACTATATTTCCACCTGAACCTGAACAGGATGTTGTGTTAAATATACTAGATGGAGTAGAATTAACCAATACAAAATATCATGAAAGCGAAAGACACTATCATTAAAGTTAAAATATTAAGAGAATTTGATGAGAATACCGGTAAGATAAAAGTTGAGTAGCAAAGAAACTGGCTGTGACAACATTAGAAACAGCTGTTTATGATACAAAAAAGTTGAAGCTCCTTTTAAACTATTTACAAAAAGGAAATTTTTACAGAAAAGGAAATTTTGCTAAAATGAAAGGTAGGAATGGAAGGGTAATAAACTCTACTGTCTGATTTAAATTGGAACACTTATAAGTATATTAAAACATAATAATTACCTATAATATGCCACAAACAATCACTTAACCTACACAATAATGCAATTATTTACTAGCACAAGAAAAAGGATAAAATGCCCTTTAAACAATAGATTTCATATCACCTGAATTTCTTTAGTAGCTGTAAACATCTCTCTTATGCTAAAAAATGTCTTCTTCCTCAAATAAGTAGCAGCTTCATGGTAATACTGACTAGGAAATTCTGGTATATCTTTCAACTGCTTTAAAATCTGCAGCTTAGCTCCATATGCTGTTACTCCATACACAAATGTCATCACAGTCTGTTTCACAACCTAAAAAAATAAATAAAAGCAGATCATTAAAGCTACCCCAAAACTTTAGAAAATATCTTAATATGCTTCTAAGGCTTCTTTGAAAATTACTAAATTATTCCCAGCCATTAATCTGAACAGAAGCAATATAACAGAAAGAATCCTATAATATAAGTAATATGACAGAAAGTATCCTATAATAATCACTGCTCAAATATATCAAAAGTAATTTCAATTAGCAACACTAATCTTAGTAGTGCTGGTTATAAAAATTCTTACTTGTTAGCATCAAAGTCACATAAAAAATGAAAAATAAATAAATAAATAATAATTAAATAAAAATAACAATTAGGCCTTATACAGCATTAACTTTTAGATATATGTTATGTATAATGTATATTTGGGATACTAGACACACTTGTATACCATATCTAAATACATTAATATCATCATCTAAGAGAAGAGAATGATACACTTTTGTCTAACATGATTAAAATAACAGTTCAACTTTAAGATACACACTCGCCTATTTGCCATATATATGAAATCTCAAATAATTATTTAACTATTAACAGTATTTAAAGTTCTGTATTGAATTGTCATTACTTATCAATACACTTCTTTAAAGTTTTTTTCATTATTTATATAGTAAATGAAAAATATGTACGTGAGAAATCTTCAAAATTCAAGTCATTTAAATTTTTAAAGAAGAGAGCAAGTACTAGCCATTAATACTTATTACATTAGTAGTATTACATTCATTTTAACAACCCATTTTATCTGCATTTAATATAGTTAATTTCAAAGTTAATGTTAAACTAAACAGTGACAAATATTGTTTTACTATCCATACTTAAAAAAGTTTCATTTCACTTAGCTTGTATTATGAGATAAATTTGAATAGTTAATCTAAGCATGGAAGATAAATGTTATAAAGATATATAAATGTTTCAGAGTATTCTGGCATTTTTGTGATCATACAAGAAGACTTACAAGCGGATTTTCGTTCTGGTGTAAATTTCTACAATGCAAGTGTTCTCTTTAATAATTTTGCTATAAACTACTATATTCCTGCAGAAATTTTTCTGCACTTTCTTTCATTTGTAGGGAAATCACACAAGCGCAAATTTTAAAACTGAGTACAAGATGAAAAATTATCATGATTTGTCTATATAAACTGTTGAAATGTACAAAATGTATGCGTATAAAAATGATAACAATCCTTGCTAAAACTGGAAAATTGTCATGTGCATAATTACCAAAGCTTGGCCCATTCTGAAAATTTGGCTATTTTTACTAAGGTGTTTGTTTTAATACATAAATACCGATTTGATTATATAAATCTTCAAAATTCAAATCATTACCAAAATAAATCTTCAGCATACACCCTAAATAAGAAATAGTCTACTAATTTATTTAACTACTGTAACTAACATTTTTTTCAGTAAAAACGTATTTCCTTTATTAGCTCTCAACATAAAATAATGTTTCTATAAAGGAAAAAAGAAAATCAACATTGAATGAGATAACAGTGATGTAAAACAAAACACATATTTTTCACCCAGGTAATAATTTTTAACACTATATTTTTAAAATATACCAGTTTAAAGCTTAAACTTGGATTAACTGATTAGCATTGTGGGTGAGACTATTTGCTAAAAGGAAAGTCTTCATAAAGAATTTCTAATAGAAACTGGCTCATATTTTATGAGCCAGTTTAATTTGGATTACACATGAAGAAAAACACAAAAATTCCATGATGACATCTAATTCAGCAGTTGGAAGCTAAATTTAAGATAAGTATTTATGTTTTACAGCCTCAGCCATTCAGTCACAAGTCAGTCATAAAGGTTAAAATGAATGTCCTTTTGGACATAATATAAAATCTGGAAGATTTCAGATTTTCTTTTTGTATTTTATTTAATATTTAGTTTTTTGCAGTCCACATCTGCTAAGTCAAAGACTGAACAATGAGAAGCAATGATAACAATCCTTGCTAAAACTGGAAAATTGTCATGTGCATAATTACCAAAGCTTGGCCCATTCTGAAAATTTGGCTATTTTTACTAAGGTGTTTGTTTTAATACATAAATACCGATTTGAGTATATAAATCTTCAAAATTCAAATCATTACCAAAATAAATCTTCAGCATACACCCTAAATAAGAAATATGTCTACTAATTTATTTAACTACTGTAACTAACATTTTTTTCAGTAAAACGTATTTCCTTTATTAGCTCTCAACATAAAATAATGTTTCTATAAAGGAAAAAAGAAAATCAACATTGAATGAGATAACAGTGATGTAAACACAAAACAATATTTTTCACCCAGGTAATAATTTTTAACACTATATTTTTAAAATATACCAGTTTAAAGCTTAAACTTGGATTAACTGATTAGCATTGTGTGTTTGGTAACTGATAGCAAGTTGTGGGTTAAAATTGATAAAACTAAAATAAGGGAATGAAATACTCCATGCAAATTACAGAAAGTAAGCATTAACACAATGTACTGCTCTTCAATGCTACTTACAATTTCATGATGGACATGAAAATGTTCATGACTAAACTAGGAAATACACTTTTTCAAAGTTTCAAATGGATGATAACATGGAAAAATTCCATACTTATTGCTGCAAAATGTTCGTTCTTCTCTTCCAGTGACAGCAGTTGAGGTTACCATCAGTAAAGAAATTGCCTTTTGAACAACAATTTAATTCTCACTGAATATCTGAAGGAAAAAAGAACTGGGCTGTGTACCACATGTATTGAATACCAAAAAAGAAAGAGTCTAAACTGCAACATATCAGGATTTCACTGAAGTAGCAGACAGTAATCTTGAATTTTTAAGCAAAATAAGTAATTATGAAAGTCATTCTGCTCAAGAATTAGATAGGGAAAAAAAATCATCTGCATAGCAAATGAGACAAATTTTGATTTGGGAATTTTGGATTTGGAAATTTTTTTGTGAAAACTATTCTGCTGATCCTCAAATAGAGAGGAGTAATTTAGAAGCAATTTTACCAGAATAACTGGTAATAAAGTCCATGTTTCACATAGAAGAACTAGACTGCCTTATAAAAAATAAAGGGTGGAGGTCAGCATATTAGGTCAGAAAAGGTAACAGGTCTTAGGCATATATTAATGCAAAACCTGAAATAGATTTCTATAGAAGACCAAAGCCTACTCTGTATTACCATGTCAATGAAGAAGAATATTTCTTCACACAACATTAATTGTTTTCAAACAGTTTATTCCCCTTCCCCTTAAAAATTTTTAAAAACTCTAAGTCATGTCTTCACTTCTCAAACTGAGCACTGGTAGATTACTTTCTGATCTCTGGAGTAAGATCTTACCTTAAAGAACATTGTTTTGACAGCATTTTAAAAATTCAGAAGATTTAATATGAGAAATAAAGTCAAAGAAATTACTTTTACAGAGGCACCCAGAAGTTATATGAATGTATCAGAACACCGACCACTTACACAGTGCCTTAGAAGGAATGAATGCAAATGACTAAAGATTAAAATTGTTTCTCTGAAGTCTTGATTTTGTATGAAGTCAGCATGTTCCATTTAAGAATTTTATTAAATTTTTGAAATGTCTGTATAAGTAACTCTTTGCAAAGCAGTATCACATTTTCAATGATAATCGTTTATTTAAATATTCATAATAAATATAAAAAGATCATAATAAATATGAAAAATTATAAAATTTTTGTAATAATTATTTTCAGTTTGTATTAAAATATTTTTGTAAGTTTTACTAAAACCACAATTTCAAATAAGTGATAAATTAAAATGCAATACCTTTCTCTTAACAAACCCTTCCAATAGTTTTGCAATTTCAACACCATCAGCTGCATCTTTTTGCCGTTCTTTTTCTACCTATATTTAGATATAGAAAGAAATCAAGAAAACAAAACCAGTTCAGAAGAAAATAACGTCAATAAAGAAACTTCAGTGTATTGCTGATCTTTTACAATTCACAATTAATTTTTTGAATGAATGACTTCAGTGAAAGCAAAAACTTAACCTCTACATGTCTATTTGTCCTAAAGCCCTCTATAGAAATACTTACTAGCTATAAATGGTAAAGACCTATACCTCTGCTTTAACTAAATATATACATGTATAAATAATTAAAATTGAAAAGAAAATGATATATTTTATAGGCTGCAATATACAAATAAACTATAATATAGATCAAAGTGATGTATATTTAAATGTATACAGGGTGATTAAAAAATATCTGGCAAATTGCAATGGCATGTAGAAAAGATCAAATTAACAGATTTTATAACGAAATGCATATGTGAAAATGGTGCACTGAAATGATAAATTCAGCAATTGAATGGTACATAAAAGTGTTGTGTCGGTGCAAATCACTTATTCTGCATGCAAATTTTGAGCTTTATACAACGTAAGCTCACCAGCATACGTTTTATTTATGGGGCTAGACAGAAACAAAGCAGCTGCTCAAACAAGACACTTAGATACTATTCTGTATATTTCCTTTGAATACCTGTTCTGTTTTACTTTTTGATAAGCTCTGTGTTCATGTAAGGATGCATACCACTTGAAATTCACAAGAGGAATGATGATTTATGTCAGCAGAATGCTTTTACCGACAGCTACCTGTAACACTTCCAAGGCACCATTTCTGCAACATGTTCCATTATAAATCTGATCCCCTCCACCTGCCTTTTATATTTCTGCCAGATATCATTCATTGTAAGATATGAAGTAAAATAGCTGAAAGATCACTGCAGAAAACAAATCAATCAGACTCTGTAAGTCAAAATTAATTACTACAATGAACTTGCACTGGAGAAAAAGACACAATATAACTCTAAATACCAATGAATTTTTGTATGCTGGGTACAAATAGAAGCAAAAGTTCAGAAAATGCCAAATCTTGCTCAATGTCAAAGATCACAACTATATTTCATTATATCTAGCAGGTTTTAAAAGTCAAAATAATAAAATGTGTTTCAACAAATATTTTAGAGAAATTTCATGTGTAAAAGAATGGCAGTATTTATAACTTTTTTAACCATTTTCTTTTACAAAAACAAGGCACTTGCTGATTAGACATTTGCCAAGAATCATATCTGAGTTCATGGTTATAGAATTACCTCAAGACAGATGGCACTGCCTAGTGTGTTCCATTGGCAGAAATTAATATTAGGCCTGCAAGGAAGGGTAAAGGTAACATACAAAATAACCAAGACTTACAAGAAACTGAATACAGTCAAAAGTCGTTAATTCGGACACCCATAATCCGGAATGATCTATAATCTGGACCTCAAAGCTAAAATCTTTCTGCGCATGCGCCGCATTGACGCATGCAGATAGGCGTTTTACTCGTGCGCCCAAGACATTTACGACTGCGCATATGCGTCTGCACAAGTGCAGAATACGTTTTCGCGTGCGCGTTTAATGTATAACGGACGGTATAAGCTAAAATTATCTAATTATCTATTTCAGTTAATGTTGATGATTGCGTTGTTCCTTAATCTTCGAATTGGATCCGGCTTATTATTTTTCGCACTGTTAGAGCAATTTTATAAAAGTAAGCTTGAATTTTCGATTATGTCAAATAGAATATCCGATTCTGGAGCTGCCAAATGATCTACAAAGCGAAAGCACGTTTCGATGTCCATCAAACAAAAAGTGGAATTGCTGCAAAAAATGGATAAAGGCATATCCTTTGTTTCTCTAACCATTCCGAAATCTGTTTATCAATTTCACACTGCTGTGCCGGGGGGGGGGGACGTCGTGGCGCACAATGAACTGGAAGTTGATCTGTCAGCACTATTCTTATCTTCAGGGCAGATGTTTTCATTTTATTCGGCTTATAACTCCTTACTAAATGTAGTATTTCATCTCGATGTACTCCGCCTTTGCAGAGCAAGAGCAGCCTTTCCGAGTTTTTAAAATAGCACATTTAATTGGGAGTTGACTGTACAAGTTATTAGTTAAAATAAGAAGACAACTTTTATTCAAAAACTATAGATGCACAGAGAGAATGCAGATATCTGCCATAAGTGAGATTGAATGGTAGTTGGATAACATGAAATTACCAAAGATTGGTTACTAAAATCGATCTACTGAATGAAAAATATTTCACAATAACACTGACAAAGAAAAAGACAAACAAAATAACTGCTTTGAAATCAATATGTAATTTTATTTTCCTATGGCAACAATATTAAAATGATTTCAATGGAAATTAAAGACAGGTTCATTACAACACCTATTGTACTGTACAAAACTTGTATGTGCAGAAGCATTATAGGGTTCTACTTTATTAAGACATATGGTACTTCATTTGAAGACAAAAATATTCATGAAAATACAATATATAACAATATAATTTCGTGATTGTATTAAAAAAATTCTACTTACATATAATATTTAATGGGAAAAAAAAGATCAGTGCATTAGACTAACAGTCTCCAAAAAAGTATGCATGCAATATGGAACATTATTCAACATTACTTTAACTAAAGTGCGAAGACTATTTTTCACCAACAGATAAATTTTTTTAATCAAAACTGATCTATATAATTAAAAAGTATAAATTAATCTTAAACATATTTTATCCCAGAACTTGTATAAATACTGCTGTGACAGCTACCAAAATAGCTACTCAAGTGTATATCTGAAAAATTCATTAGCATCAAAATATATAAGAACATTATGTATGATTCCATATATTCTGATATTTATTTCAAGGAATGGCCTAAAAGAAATATAAAAGGTCATCCTAATTATTTTTATTAACTGACACAGATCCAAAATCTTAATATATATTGTTGCGTGCGTATGGGTTCGTTACGAAATGAATGCACAAGCCCGATGAAAAATGAACAAAAATTTATTATCATCACAATAAAAATGCTTAAATTTTCTCAAATTATCATGCAGTATTACAATATCTCACAGTAGTTATCTTTTAACTACTCAAATGTCCAATAGAACGTAATTCAAAACAGCTAAAGAAAGCTAATCTGCGAATTCGCTACAATCAACAAGAGCAGTTTTCTAAACAACAACAAACTAAGCAACTACAACAAACTGAGATGTTTTCTCCTTTTATAAGATTTTAAAATCATGCGCTAGAATTTTCCAGTACTTTTTCGAAATCAAAAAGAGATATTTATTTATTTAATGCATGCGCTCTTGTATTTTCAATTTTCCGGCTTAGCTTTCTTTTAATATTCGTCACGCGCTGCACTGCGCGAGAAATAAAACCATTTAATTTATAATTGAACTAACATTAGCTTTTTAAATACCAAATTCGTAACAATATTATTGGAGTCACTATTGTCCCTGTAAACTGTCCTCCATTAAAACAAAACAAATAAGAGAAGCCTGATTTTGCCAGAACATGGGTTTCTACATCATACCCATTATTTCCTTGCAGTGAAGGAAATTGTTATTATATGCTTGTAAAGTAGAGTAATTTTTTATAAAATGTGTAATTTGAATGATCTAAACAAATTAATAAAAATATTTGGCCAATATTTGTATTACCATAATTTGGGGAAGATAAGCTTACATGTGTTTAAAAGTTGAAAATTTAGCTCTGCTGCATATCTGAAGGAATTTTATTTTTTCTCAGATTTTAGAACTTTACTAGTTCAGAGCTGTGCACAAGTGAAATGGCTAATGCAAAATTCACTGCAACATTTTAGTCTGATACGAGGGCTTATGTTAAGACACCATAATGCATATACTTTCTGATGAAATCCGTGGATCTGTCTGTGTTTTCTGAAGATTATATTCTTTTTAATGGACACAAAAACTTTTATTTAGACAAATTCTGTATTCATTCTTACATGTATCTCACTGTTGGCTTGCTTATTGCAGAGTTTTATTGTTTATGCTTGTTGAATTCTTAAAATTATTGTTATTATTATGGCTCCTACTTAAGGAAAGTTTCTCAAAGTGGTTTGGAAGACAATTCAGGGAAATGAACAATAGAACACAAAGAAAAGGATTATCAATGCCAACATTTAGAATTCACCTTCAGAAAAAGTAATTGCTCAATAAATGGGCATTAAAAATTTTGATGGAGTACATAATCAGTATTTCAGGTTTACGAAATGGAAGAAATTATCTGCCAGAACTAAAACAATAGTTGGACAGAAGCTTTCTGTGGACTGGCTTGAAACAGATAGCTTTTTGGAGTATGCATCGAAGAAAATTGGAGAAAAAATTTTGAATGTCCTCCCAGCACAACTGTTCATCCAACAGGAGAAAACACAAGTTCTGTGTTCTGTAATGAAAAGAATCTTGTTTTGGGTTGTGCTGTGAATGCAGAGAAGTTAACGCCTTTGATAATTTTCAAAAGAAAATAGTTCTGAAAGGAAACTTTCCTAGAAGGGTCATTATTTGCTACAGTGAAAAAGGATGGCTGTGTGAAGAAGTGATGTTGTTTTGGCTGAGAGAAATTTATTGAAAAAAGGAAAGCTATATTTATCTAACCTTGCACATTCATTTATTCTATATTCAATGTGATTCCATTTAGTGGATACAGTAAAATCCAAAGCAAAAAACAACACTGATGAATGAACTTGTGACACAAGGCAGGCTTATTAAAATTTTACAACCACTGGATCTCATCATCAATAGAATTTTCAAGCATGTTCTATGAAAGCAGTCAAAGGAATGAATGTGAAGCAGACTCCATTCCTTCAAAAATTCCGGATGAATGAGGAAGTTTCATCTCATTCATTCCTTCACCTTGTTGTTTGAAAATGCATAGCAACCTGTCCAAGGTGATATGATTGTAACAGCTTTTATTAAATAGGATATTACTGGAAAAAAAAAAAAAGAGAGAAGATAGCAATGTTGAAAGAAGTGATTTAGGACAGAATGACGAAGGTGACCTGGATGGTCATTTTTTAAGTTTATTTAATTCTGATATTGATGACCTGGATTTTGAAAGTTCTGTATAAATAAATACAGTTTATTTTAATTATAAAATTATGTTTGATTATCTAATTTATATATACTTTTTCATAACATATATTTCATTATGGTGATAAACAAAGTTTACCAAACCTGTAAAAATGACATCTATTAGAAATCAGCAAAGTTTGTTTTTTGGGAAATTAAAGGTAAGATATTTGTTTATTTTTTATATACTGCTGTTTATATCTGCATCGTAATTGTTATAAAATATTATTAAAAATGATTACATCAATATAAAAGGGAGTAAATGAATATTGAGTGTCATGTTTTACAATGTTTTGCTGCAGCATATATGGCGATGTGGCTTATCCGATGAATTTTCACTATATTTTTAAGTCAAATATCATGTGTGAGAGGTATAATGCCAGGGTAGTTTATCTACCTGAAACAGCAGTACTTTTGACATGCCTCTAGTACAAGCAACATAAATACATAAAATAAATAAACTCACTAAAGCTGCAACTCCACTGTATACATCTTGAGGAGAATTTGAAGGATGTAAATTTACTTCTATAGCACCTAATTCATCTCGACCTAATGCAGCATAATGTTGCAATCCATTACACGAGCCATCTTGGTGAACTGGAAAATGAGATACATATTCTTCAGGCTGAGGGAGGCGCAAGGCGTTAGCTAATTCCTTGCAGCATGCAAGAGTTTGCCATGGTTTGTCTGAAGTTTTCCACCACTGGTTTCCCTGTTAATGATTTACATAAAAATTCTTTGATATACAATAGTCTAACCTATTATTTAATACAATATTACAGAATGAAACTCACATTTTCATTAAAATTTGACTTTTAAAATTTGTAAATTTAATATGATATCCTCAGCTTAATGACTGCATGCAAAGTTCCGGCCCAAAATGCATTAAAATAATGAAAAATTAATTTGTGTGCTAAAAGCATAAGGTAGTTAGGTAACTGGTATATACAAACACATTTGTCACCCAACCAGTATAGTATAGTGGTTAACGTCGCTGACTGGCATGCTGAAGGGCCCAATTTTGAATCCCAGAGAAGGCATCGATGTTTATAAATGTATAGTGTCCGTGCGGCATGGGGGGCTCTATATATGCAGCAAGCCAAAAGCCCTCTTGAGAGGTTGGTGGTAGGGAAAGAGGGGTGGGAGACACTCGGACCTGTCCCCCCAGGGGCACTCTCCATCAAAATTGGGGGCGGAACTGAGATAAATCACACTCAATTTTCGCATGTAAGGTGCCCACAACAAGCTATCTTGCACTCCTTGCCATGAGGAATTTCATGAGCATTAGTCAACAACAACAAACACATTTTTTTCAGCATTTTAGCATTAAATGCCATGTTAAAATTGAATTAGCATGATCTATAAATTTAAAAATAATCAACAGTCCCTTAGCAGTCATAAATTGGAGTTTGACTGTATACAAAGCTTTAATTATGTACTTAATTCTGACAAAACATCAAAATAAACCAACCTCAAATGGTCGAATAGCTGAATCTAAAATTTCAGGTATCATCTGATCAGCAAACTTTAGACGTTCTTCATGAGTATCCCTTTGAAAAAAGTTTAAATAAAATTAATATTTCAGTGCAATTTACAGAGAAATTAGTATAAGTATATAACTGCAATGACAAATTTATAAATAAAAAGGTTATTGCAAAATGTGCTACACTGACAGAAGGCACTGTTATGCTATTAAATATCCAGCAAGAAATTATAAGTCTGTGGTGCTTGAAGATAGACAATTTAGTAACTGTGATAAAAAGTAAACAAAAAAAAAAAAAAAAAAAAAAAAAAAAGTTTTACATTTAGTTTAGAAAGTGCTATATGGTGTAAAATAAATATTGATGATTGATCAACTCATGAGATTATTTCAACTTCTCTATAGACTAATATGGAATGGTAGTTAATGGATCATAAGTAGAAACCATCTTCATGTTAAAAAATGAAAAGAATGCAGGAAGCATGAGTATCAACTGTTTCATGAATATTGTACCTTTTTCTCGGAAAACGTTTCACGTTATTCCTGAATTCAACTAAAGGTATGGCATTTTAAATTTCAGCTTTTGTATTAAAGTGTCAAACTGATTATTATTATTATTTTAAATCTGAGCTCTTGCATTAGAGTGGAGGACTTATTACGTAGTAATGGAATATTTTCGTTTTGAAATTTGAGCTATTGTATTAGAGTCCCAAATAAAAATTTTTGTTGTGTGAATCATGTAAATGGCTTGAATTTTTTATTTACTCTAATATTTCTTTATTGACAGCAATCTTAGCAGATTATGTTCAGAACTGCATAACTGTAACTTAGATGATTACTTTTTTAATTTATGCATTCAATTTTGAAGCCATATTTGAAGTAATATATTTAAGGTAAATATTAATTTGTAAATTTAGAGAACAGACCCACTTTACCCATGTAGCTAATATAGCCTAACTTCTGACAAATGTAGCAACAAGTAACCCTGTTAAGCTCTCTAAAAACACAGCAGTTGAAGCCTAACTACACTTGTTTGAGGATGATAAGTATATTGTATAGCTTCTATGTATACAGTAAGTATATTGTACCTAATACTGTACATCTAAAAATCAAAAAATGGTTTCAAAGGATTACATAAAGGTAAGTATCTGAATTTCTTTACATATGAATGTTCACCTGCGTAGAAAACATCAAACTTGTTTCCCAATGAAATTAAAGCTAAAAAATCCGATGTGTACACCACATAACTTCCTTGTACGGAATATTAAATTATATGCATTTTTTTCCTGCATTTTGTTTAAACTTATTGGATTTAATTAAATCTACTTCGCCGACAGTGCATAAGCCACAATAGAATAAAGGCATTCTGTAAAATTCACTCTATTTGTTTAATATAGCAACACTCTGGCGCTAGGTTCACTTAACAGTATTATATTTCGTTCATATTATAACTCAGAATGCACAAAATTTATATCATTTAAAGAATTATCTAATCGTTTCTACATGTTCTTTTCAAATACTATAATAAAGCTAGAACGATGTATAAAAGAAATTAAGCAAACAAAACAAAAAGGAAACACTTTTTCACGGACGATTGTGTATTTCTCATTCAATTAATTCAGTTCTCACTTCGCGACAAGGCAAAAATACATAAAAGCTCAAGATATCTGTATTAAAAATTACTAATTATTAAAAATTAAATTACTAAATTATTAAAACTTAAATTATTAAAAATTAAGTAAATCTTAAACACTTATTTCCTTGAAAAAATTCCAGAAAAGATTAAGCATGATTTAATTCACAATAATAAATGAAGGCATTATCTTTGTTGTTGTGAAGCTACATTTTTCTAGATTGGCAACAAATCCACTACTCTGCTGTTTTAAATGTAAACAAGCAATGGCCGCCATCAAAAAGATTATATTAGGCTTCGTGGCACTTAAACAACTTTAAAATTGTTGATAACTCTAAAAATATTTCATACAGATTTACTAAAGGCATAAAAACCTTGGCTCTAATGTAGAATTGGGTGCCCTTTCGATAAGCGACAATTTTTTTTTAAATTTTGGCGATGAAACTTCACTTCTTTAGTTTCTAGTTACCATGAGAGTTTTAACTTTGTTTTAGCTTCCTGATTTTATTTAAATGAAAATAGATTCATGTGTACATGGACAAATTTAAGGCAGTGTGCAATGCCTAGTTTGTGCAATTCTAGGATGTTTTTTTAAGTGAAAACAGATCGACGTGTAAATGGACACAGTGTTTGTGCAATTCTTTGACTTCTTATTTTGGTTTTCTGTAACGGCCATCTTGAAATTGTGCCTTCCCGGCACTGATCTTGGCATCAAAAAAGAATCACCAAGAAACAAGGGGCACCCAATTGTAAACTTTTACCATAACCTTAACCGGAAGACAAGAACAACATAATTCAATCATTTTTAAAGCAAAAAATGTACAATTTACAAATATATAAGAGTAAAGAAACTGAGACGGGTAACAGAGTGGATATATATATAAATATATTTATATACATTTGGCGTGGCCGATTGCAACCAAAATACAAGGTGAACATCTACATGTTATAGTAGCCCTATATACAAAATTTCAACGTTCTGAGGCTACTCGTTTTTGAGTTATGCGAGATACGTACGTACGTACATACATTCGTACAGACACCATGAAAAATTATCTTCAGAATTCATTTTAAAGCAGTTTTATGATTTTTTTGGAGGAAAAGAGTCTTTTATTGTGTCTTTACGTACACATATCACGCAAAAACATCGTTAAATTGCATTCGAAAGCTGTCAAAATGGATATTTTCGTTGAAATATGCTGCCCGAAACTTTTCACGATTACAGTCCTTCCTTTTTACCTTGTACAAGGAAGTAAAAAGGATTAAAGATGTAACTGAAATCTTTTAAATGCTGAAAATTCTGCATAAATATTCTGCAATATACATACACTTCATATTCATTCTGAAACTTTTACTAGCAATTAAAAGCAAAACATTTTAACATCATGTTCTTAACTGTCAATTCCATACCTTTTTTTAAATCCAGTAAGATTAATCAAATGAATTTTTAACCATTCTAAACCTTTCTTTCCTAATGGTTGTCCTTCTGCAAATAACAGAATACTTCTAGCCATATCACTACCTAGGGGGTAAAAAAGAGTTCATATTAAAAGAAAAAGAAAATCTGAAAAAAATTCAAATTTTAATGGCAAAGGGTTTGTTTAGGTCAGGGTTTCATAAACTGTGGGTCAGTAAAAATTTTAGCAGTTTTGATATTTCTTTAACTTATTATAATAATTTTACAATTACCAAATATTTTTACACAATGTATCTGAAAATAGATAAAGATAAGACAATATGAACAAGAAAAAAAATGAAAACGTTTCGACGCATTCTTTTTATAATATACACACTCATTTTCCTTGCTTTGCACACTGTCATTTCATCTGTTACTTATTTAAAATTTTCACATTGTTCTATGTCTTAAAATTAGAAATTAAGGTTAATGACCTAAAACTGCAATAGTATATTACAGCACAAGTGCAAAAATTGACAGTATCACTCACGTGTGTGTCAGATTTGCGCAATACTCATAAGGTCCCATAAAATTTGTGTAAATATTATGGAGTCCTGGGGGTCATGATAAAATCTCAGTGATAATAAGGGGTGATGACTGAAAAACGTTTAAGAAACCCTGGTCTACATTATACTCTTACTGAGCTCACAGTTTAGATATCTTGGACTTACTCCTACTGACAAAACATTTTATGTCTTTTTATCTTCATTATCCATCCCTTCCTTTTGCACTTAAGTGACACAGAAATCAACAGCAAGATTACAAGTTTTTTAAAAGCAGCATATCTTTAGAATTTCTGATATAATGTTAAGTATTGCCATACTTTTTTTAGCCAGAAGGGTTATTATTCTCGGATCTCACTTTTGTAAACTGTTCCACTTTTCAAATCAGCCATCTAAAATTATTACTAGGAAAAAAGTATATATATATCCTAGAAAAGGAAATGTAAAACAACTGCAAACTGAAACTAGGAAATGTTAATACCTAAGAGAACTGTTAAAATCTGTAATAAACCTAAGAGAAGTTTAAAATTTTTAATGGTATGCATTAAAATCATAATTTTAAAAAAGAGAAGAAATAGTACATACATAAAAAAAGGTTGAACAATAAATACATAAAAAGGCAAATAAATTATTCCTGATTTCCTAGAAGAGGGTTGACGTATCAAAGGGATTTAACCCTCCTCCAAAATATCCACAATAATTTGGGTATGATCATGTTTCATCTCCTTCGTATGTTTGAATATGTAATTTCCTTTAATTGTGAAAAACTGATATATAAAAATGAATTATTTATAATTTTCCAACATGGCAATTCCCAAACACAACCAAAAAAGAAAATACTTACAAAAAGATTGCTATAAAAAGTGATGGGGAATTCAGAAGTATTAACACATACAAAAACCATCATCAAAATATTATACAATTTAAACTATTATATAGTTACAATATTATAATTGCATGCATATACAAAAATATAGGCCAGAAATATACAATTTTAATCCTAACCTACTATTTAAATTCCATAGCCATTATTGTGTAGCTTTTAATCAAAAAGGAAGTTCATTGGAATTGATCCCTGAGAGACAGTTTCATCATCAAAAGAGGTGGAACAGAGTGTTAAAACTGTATACACAGATAGGAATGCGGAGAAAGAAATTTGAATGGAGTCCACTGATTGTCTGTAGACAAAGAAAATCTAAATGTTATGAGTGAGGGTGATAAGCAAATGCTTTAGTCTCCCTTTTGTTTATTATGTAAATAAATTGTTTGGATTTACACAAATAAATGAAAATACAAAACTATAATATTTTCTGGCTGAAAGTCAAGGAAACAGAAAACAGTAAGAATAACAATCAAAAGTCTTCTTTCAGAATCAGAAACATTTGGGTCTTTAGAAACTGAATGGCTTTTACCTAGTTAATAAAAGGAAAGTAGCCAAACCTAATTTACATTAAAGTAATTTATAATTAAACACAGAATGTACAAATCTTTAAAGCTAACAAAACGTCTGGACTCAACCTTCGTGGAAAGTTTAAGATAAGCCCACCATAACATCTTAATTGAAAGATTAAATTTGAAAGTTAATGCTTGCTTTATTAAGTGAATAATTAATAATTTTCTAAAAGCCTCTTCTTTCCATTCTAAGAATACATTACCAGGAAGATTGAGTTTAGATATATATGTTACCGTGAAAGACCGAAATTGGAGAATGTCGACTTGCAACGGAGAATGTTAACATTCACCAAATACGTTGGTGAAAGATCGAATATTGCACTACATTCTTTATATTCAGACCCTCACCGGTGTATGTTGACAATCACAGATATGCTCTGGTGTAAGTCGAAAAGAGAGGTCATAAAGTGTCATAATAGTTTAAGTTGTTCCAATAAATAAGATGTGAATCACATAATTTAGCAAGTTTTTTATTACTGTTATTTTATTTTCTCATTTAGAACGTACTGTATAATTAAGTAAGTTTTTAACTTCTATTATTTTCCTTTCTCATTTTGAATGTATTGTGTGTTTTAGGTTCTCATGTTCTTAAGTTCTTATTTCAAGTCTCAAGTACGTTTATTCGCGACTGAATTACAGAGAAGAAAATATAATATTGTTATATGTTCAACATTCACCATTAGTACATGGTGTACAAACATTGACAAAACACTTTATGTCTTTTTATCTTCATTATTCCTCCCTTCCTTTTGCACTTAAGTGACACAGAAATCAACAGCAAGATTCACCATTAGTACATGGTGAATGTCGACATTGACCGGTGTAAGTCAGAAATAAGAGTATTTGGAAAATATTTCGGACATACACCAAGAGACTACGTGAATGTTGACATTCACCGGTGAAAGTCAACATTCTCCAGATTTCGGTGTTTCACCGTAACATATATATAAATAAAATGCTTTTAATAAATCCAGCTGGGGAAATTTTATAGGTCCAGCTGTTAACAGCTGAGTAACAGGCAATTAATCAACAACAGGCAGACTAAATTTAAAAGACAAATTTAATCTCTTATGCTTCATCAAAAGGCAATAAACTGTCAGGAACTTTAAAGATATTTAATATAATCATATTCTATATCTTTAAAATTTCTAATAAAGTGTTAAATGTTGCCATACACTTTTTTATATTCGCTAGATTATTTCTCTAAAAATTATACATGGGGATAACATCTGGTGGGAACTTTCATTTGTTTGTGTTGGCATGCATTTTTTTTTAATACTCACTATATTCCTTAAAAGTAATATACAAAGATAACATTTGGTGGCAACATTTGAAAAGTGATATGGACATAAAAATAAAAGTGAGGTTTTAGATTAAAAGCACCTCTAGCACTAAAATGGACACAGATTAAAATCAATTAATAATCAAAACAATAAACTGGCATAAGTTTAGATATCATGTTACAGCTTAAAAAAATTAGTTAAAATAAATGACTATAAATATTTAAAGTAAATTAAATGGCAACAAATCAAATCAATCTTATAAAAATAAATAAAAAAAAAAAGGAAAATTAATTTTTTTTTTAAATTTATTATACACTTACAATAAAATTTATATTATTTGAAACAGTAACTTAGATTATTCTGCACAAATTGTGATCCAAACATTTTAGAATTCACTATCCTTCTAGCTATAGGGGGATAATATTTCACTTAGCTTTAAGATACCATATATTCCAGCATATAAAGTGCACTTTTAATACAAAAATTAAGATAAAAATTTATGGTTGTGTGTTATACACCAGATGTAAAAATAATAGATTTAAAAAATAAGGAAAAGATGAGCATATGAAATTTAGATTTCTGCACTTATCTAAATGATGTTTATTTAAATGAAATGACATACCTTATGAACTTTATAATTTTCATTGTGAAATAACATGAAAAGTTTGTCACATTCGTCTTCCGTTATATCTTCGAGCACATCATCAATTCTGTTTCAACTTCCCCATCACTGTTACTCTGAGCCATAAATATATAATCATCTTCCTTTCTATCTATAGATTGCTAGATATACTATATATTTTAAGTGACTTGTATTATAACAGATTTAATTTTAATTTCATGCTTTTATTATCCACTTACACTCTATTTCAAGACTGGCATCATGCAGCCTGCTTTTGTAAATGTTTTTGTACTTCTTTGTAAATGTTTCTTCCTCTCTTTTGTAAATGTTTTTATACTAGCACCCACATATTCCACTGTCATTTTAAAATTTCCTTGAATGGTTTATTGATAGGCTGAACAAATGGCATTAATTTGCCTGGAATAACTGGCATGTCTGTATTACAATATTTCAACAATTTTATCAAAGTATCCATTAAATGGGATTTGAACATATTCCTAACTAAAAGACTTTCTGGACTTTTAAATGCAACTGAAAACTTTTGCCACATATTTCTTATCCACGATTTCACACTATTTTCATGTATCCACCCTTTCTCGTGAACACGAACGAAAACAACATTTAAAAAATTACATTTTAACATTGTCTTTCTTTTAAAAATAAGCATGAGCTTTAAAAATTTTGTACTGCCCATTAAGGAAGAAAGTATTACGGTGAAGTGAGATTTTTTCCCAGCTCTTGTTTTATGGGAATCGTTTTTGTTCATTTCATATCAACAGCTTTATTTCCTATCATATCAAACATTACTGCAGTTTCATCCATATTTCCAATATCTGATAATAATTTTTTTTCTCCTTTGTATATCAATCACATATATCTGAAAACTTGTTAATTTGGTGTCCAAATCTTTTGGAAGTCTGCAAAACTTTTATCCCCCCCCCTCGCAAAAGTAAATCATTCTATCCCATAATACTCGATCAACTGTATATCAACTAAAGCAAATGTGATTTACTATAGCCTTCGATGCTCATTTCAAAATCATAGTTTCAGATCACTACAGAAAGAGAAAACGTGTGGCTCCTGATTCGGCAAATTCATTTGGATCGGAAATGCATTATTACCCCAAATTATGTTCCTCTTTTCTTGAAACCCCAAAATAACATTGCTGTGCATTGCATTGAATACAACCACCTTCTTTGCAGAATTATTTATTTCCTCAAGCATTCCCCTCACATATATTGTTCTCCTTGTCAATTCAGTATACCATTGTTTGAAATTATTTGAAAAAAAATCTTCGAATGAATGACTTTAAAAAGTTAGAGCATTGCACATGCTCTTTCAGGTTTCTTCATAAAGAAAAAGGTGTGCATTATATGGTGAATGTACCTAAAAATTTTAAAATACAGTTTGATGAAATTACAGATGCGCATTATATGCTGGAATATACAGTATATTAGATTTCTTAAAAATATGAACTATGATTAAAAACAAAGAACGTAACTATCAAAACTCACCTAAATGGTTAAAATGTGGAGGGGTTGGATAAACACGACCTCTAAAATCTAAATTATGTGGAAACCAAAAGACTTTTTCTTGGAACTAAGGGATAAACAAATGACAGACATTGCCTTACAATACACAGGAGAAACTTTCATGTTCTCATTAAAAATTGTTTATATAACATAATAAACAAAACAGTTTTTATAATAATAAACATTTAGAAATAATATAAAATAATATGCATATCTTAAAGCACAGTAGAGCTCTAAATAACTGGACTAATGGAAAACTGCACAAGCAGATATTCAGAAAATCAGAATCATCAGCCCCTTGCTCCATAGATCAAATACACATTTATTGTAATAACAATTCGTTTTCTTTTTCTCTGTCTCTCTTTCAAGTAAACCTTATATAGTAAAAACTAGTGCCATTACTGAAGGCCATTTGTCAACTGAAATGTTCATAAACCAAAATAACTTTCCTCAAAACATTTAACTTAAAATGGATTAATTCATTACTGGACCACACATGATTTGTTTATTTAAATTTTGCAATAATACTTTGTGCAGAAGTTCATACCCTAAAAACAATCATTAAATATAAAAGTTAAATACAATATTAACCAGATACAATAGACTAAATTTTAATTTAATTTTACTGTATCTATATGAAGAAAAGTGGATGGCACAAGTGAAAAATGATGATGTTGTTTCGATGAGACACCCCTCTCATAAAAATATAAAGAAATATCTTTTAAGAGCTTCTTTGATATCTTTTCTTTGTCTCTTAGCAGACCCATCACTTGAGACAAAGAAGTAAATGCACGGTCTTTTACACCTTCTTGTTAGATTAATTACTGCCATATGAATAAACGGTAAAATATTTTTTTTTAATAATATTTCAACTATTAGAATATTTATAGCTTTATATATTCAGGAAAATTACATAAACAACGCTTTATAGCAGGGTTTCTTAAACTGCGGGACCTGCAGCAAGGGGTCGCCAAAAATTTTAGCAGTTTTGATATTTTTTCAACTTATTTTAATAATGTTACAATTACCAAATAATTTTACACAGTGTATCTGAAAATAGATAAAGATAATACAGACAAAGAAAAATACGAAAACGTTTTGACGCATTATTTTTATAATATAAATATTCATTTTCTTTGCTTTGCATGTGACGCTATCATTTCATCTGTTACTTATTTAAAATTTGCACATTTTTCTATGTCTTAAAATTAGAAATTAAAGTTAATGACCTAAAAATGCAATAGTAAATTAGAGTACAAGTGAAAAAATTGACAGTTTCACTCACACATGTGTCGAATTTGTGCAATATTTATGGGGTCCCACAAACATTTTGTAAATATTATGGGGTCCTGGGGGTCACAAAAAAATCTCAGTGAAATAACGGGGTCACGACTGAAAAAAGGTTTAAGAAACCCTGCTTTATAGCTTTAAAATGAAAAAAAGGTTTAAAAATGCCTTTTTGATAAACAACAAATAATATAGCAAAATACTACATTAATGTTAAAAATATATTATTATCATAATTAAAAATAAATTCTACATTAATTCTGAAGCACTTTTTTTAATACTTTATTTTATTTTATTTATTTATTTTTTGATGATGCAAATTATCAATCATGTTTTTAGAACATATTTGAATGTTTAACTCACATCCTATAGAGGAAATAGTTATATCAGAAAATTTTTGTTGACCAAGTGAAGCTCTTACATATATGTAATAGGTTCAGGAGCAGAAATAGGAAATTTCGATGGCAAAAAAGTGTTGATCCATAATGACTAGAAAACTGGAGGCAAATGCAGATTAAATTTTCAATTTTATTTTCAGCAAGATCTTTTGGCTACACACAAGTTGGCACATTAAATATGCCTGTTCCAAAAGGCTTACATTTTTTATAACATTGTAGCAAGCAAGCAGCAGCAAACAGACAGACAGCAGTGTAACTAGGCCAAAGCGTGGAAAGCAATTGCATAATGTTCAGGATGAAATCTTAAATCAAACTGAGTTAGTTTTGGTTCTTAAAGCATTTTGATTGGATAGTTAATATTGCTGTAAAATTATTATTGGCTGCTCGAGTTTTGACAATTCAAAAGCCCTTTTAAATTGCAATTAAAGCCCTGCCCTCAGAGAGCTAAGATACCGAGTCAAAATGATGGCCAATATAATGCCCAAATTGACATCGGGGGTTTTCATTTAACAGCATAAAATAAAATTTTGGATTGTTTGATTAAATAGAATTCACATCCATAAATCTAAAATATTAACCCTACATGTCAACATCAGTGACTGGCATCCAGTTGGATAAAGAGAGTTAATCATGTTTTTAAAAAATTCTGAAGAGAAGGTTCATTAATTCAACAGACTTTAATATACACAAAGTGAACACCATTACAAAATGTATAACTATTAATTATACTTACTTTTTTACAGTCCTTACATATGATGTAATTATAAAACATGCTAATGATTCATACAAAGGCAAAGCTTTTAAATGATGTTAATTATGTAGAATGCTGCTACAGATTACCTAAGGCTATTATGAAACATTATAAAATATAAATTTACTTTGCCATCAATAAATGCACCTCAAATTTATTTTGCAAATATAAGTAATCACACTTCACTCTGTAAAACTGCTTTTCCCTGCTTTTCTTTCTTATATTCATATAAGTAAAATTTGCAGCTTGTATTGTTTACTTTTTATATTTTTGCATATGATCAATGAGACTTATTAAAAATAAAAGTGTGTTATTTATAGCCCTTAAATGAAAAGATATATTTTTTTCTTTTTTAACAATTGGGAAGTATTGATAGCAAATAATACATAATAATAATATTGTTTAAAAGATAAAAATGGATACTTACATGATTTGCTATGCTCAGCTTATATAAACAGTCAAACCATAAACTTGTTACTTCACCTTTCTTTTTTTCTAGCTCCATATTTTGTTTTTTAATTAATGCCTTTTCCTTTTTTGACATACCACTGGAAAGAACATACACATATAGGAAATGGGAGCCAAAAATATAAATATTAATTACTACCACCTTCACACACCTCATTGGCTATGAAATAGTATCTATAGGAAGATTATATGCATTAAAAGTCTCTTAGGACAATGTGTAACTACTCATAAATGACAAATAACTGAGAGTTTGACAATTAAGTCTTAATATTACCATAAAAGGTAATTTCATGATATTAAACTATATATTAAATATAGTCGCAGGCTACCAGTTCAATGACATCTCATTGAATGAACACTATATACACTTGAAAATTGAGAAGAGCATGGTAATTAACTTTTAACAGCTTAAGCAGAATGCAGATATAAGCAATTTTTCTTTAGTGTGCAAGAAATATTGGCAACTACCAAAATTATTTGCACAGTAAATTCACAATTCAGCTACATCTAGCAGTTGAATAACAATTAAACTAGCAATAACAACAACTCATCTCGGCTTGCTTAGCTGCATTTATATAGAGTCAGGCATAAGTCTGGTGAAGTACCAAGTTTCTAGAAACTTCCAGAAAGATCGGCTGAGGCCTGTGAGGAACATATCTTACATTTACCTAAGCTATTTTTACATTCTAAATTTTGCCACTCTCAAAACAATAGATTCAATGATTCCATATAAGAAATATCACATTAAATACAAACACAAACAAACAAATAAACACAAAATAATAAAAAACAAATAAATAATTAAATAATAAAACAATGTAATAAAAAGGATTTGAATATTGGTAGATATACACAACAATATTCTGAACTCAATCTAGTAAAAATTTCAGTAAGATCTGTCATCTTTAATTACATCTATTTCAGCACTGAAGTGAAATTATTAAATATTTAACCTACCCTGCTGCATTTCGTTCATTTAATTGAGCTCTGTCACATATTTATTAGTGCTTTTTTACAACAAACAGAAAAGTATTCATCATAAAGCATATTTTTTAAATTCATATAAAACGTTTTCATTTAATTTCATTACTTATTTATTAATTCAACTAGCTTTCATTCTTATTACCATTACTTATTTTCTACCCCCCCAAAAAAGTGATTTGCTCAACTTTTTTAATGCACTGCAATTTGTTTTTTTCCATTTTGTATATTTGGATCAGTATGGATTATTATGAGGAAATACTTTTTTCCTTCACTATTGTCTGCAAAAGAAATACGTCTAGACAAATCTCATTTAGTTGTCATTTCAGGATTTTTGATGCTTTTACATTTTTAATTTAAAAATTACCTATACTCCCACATTTCAATCATAATTATAATATAACAGAAAACATAAAAAGAAAATATGAGCAAAGTTATGTAGTAAAATAGGCAATAGAGAAAATTCTTATTTTATGCCTTCAATGCAACTGAAATAGGATTAACGTTGTTATCCTTCTTCACTCACTATTCAAAAAGGTATCCTTTCTGTAAATATATTAATATTATAGTGTAACATCCTTAGTAATAGTTCATGTAACTGTAAATTCAGAAGTTTAGTTTGAAATTAAATAATATTTATCTTAATTCATTTTTAAAAACAGTCTGTAATATTAAGGTTTTCAAAAATGAATCTTAGTCTGAAATAATAAAAAGTGTTCAGTTAGATAGACTACATGCAATTTATAACTTATATGAGCTACAACAGCATATGAATCTACCAATATATTCTACTGCTAAGCAACCATAAAACATTAACAGGACAAACAATCTCAAGTTGCTATTAGTCAAACATAACACATAACTGGGCATCTAAATATTTCATCTCTTATCAGTATATATTTTAGTGTATTTTCCAACATTTATGATAAAAAAAACAAAAGCAGTTGGCAAAAATAATTTACAAGAGGAACAATAACTTACCTAACTAAGAAATCCTTATTACTATTATTTAAAAAAACACTTTTGGTGGTAACATTATAAATTAACAGAGACCATTGTATTTATTAGAGTTATAAACAAGTTAGTAAAATTAAAATACATTTATTATCATAATATGCATGAATTAAAACTTTTCTTTTTTTTGAACAATTTATTTCAAGTAATACAATTTCAAAGAAGAACATATTCAAAAGCTACTATCAAGCACATTAAATAAGTCCTTTACTATAAAAATTTGAAGAAAAAAAATCATCTAGTAACTTACTTGTTTTAAAATGTAACTCACTTCATTTCAGAAAAAATATATATATTTAAAATTTTGAATTACAAAAAATTAAAAAAATTTTCATCACATTTATTCCATTCATGAATTTGTAGTTTCAAATCAAAGACTTAAAAAAGTAAGTCATTGGCCTTTTTTTAATGAACGAATTTGATGAATAAAAATGTACAAAGCATTTAATAACAGGATAAACAAAGGAATCTGTGATATTTAATATTAATTAAAAATACAAAGTCCGGCTATTAATTTCCAGGACTGACGTAACTGTAGGAGAATGAAAAGTCGGAAGATGGCACTAATGATTGCATATTGAAGAGCGTTTTCTTGCGCATGTACAGTGCAATTGGCGTCATTCTGAAGTAAGTGGTTCTCGTGGATAGGTGCATTAAAACATAGCTCTTAAATTCCTATTGTCGAAGTGAAAATGGAGCAAAGAATTAACATTAAATTTTGCTTCAAATTGGGCAAGACAGCTGTGGAAACCTACGAAATGTTAAAACAAGTTTATGGCGAGAAAGCATTATCCTACTTAAGAACTTTTGAATGGTTTAAACGCTTTCAGGAAGGGCGCGAAAGCATTGAAGATGATCCACACAGAGGTCGGACGCAGTCTGTATGCATGCCGGAAGCAATTGAAAAGTTCACAATATGGTGAAATGTGATTGTCGATTGACTATTCGAGTACTCACCAATGAATTCAACATGGACAAAGAGACGGTTCAGCAAATTTTGATGTGAGACCTAGGCAAACGCAAGATTTGTTCCAGATTTGTTCCTCACCATTGCAACAAAAGCAAATGTGACTGAACAAAAGCAACTGATGAACAAAAGCAATTGAGACTGAACGCATGTGGCGAGCTTATCGACAATGCTAATGTTGACCCTGCGTTCCTGGATAAGATAGTCATGGGAGACGAGTTTTGGTGTTATCAATATGACCCTGAAACCAAGCATCAAAGCTCCGAATGAAGTTCTCCAAGTTCACCAAGGCAGAAAAAATTTCAATTTGAAAAGTCCAAAATCAAGGTCATCTTAATCGCTTTCTTTCATCTTAATCTGAAGGGAAAAAGATTTCAGGATGTCGAAGCCATCAAGAAAACTGTAATGTCACTATTAAAGAGCATTCCAAAAGAGGACTTTAAAACTTCTCTCCGAAATCTGTACAGCCGAGCACAGGATGTGCATTACGGCTGATGGGGATTACTTTGAATGATATTAAATGGCTATGTGTGTTTAACCTTTTTTCTTATGAGTTATTCCACGAGTCTTGGAAATTAATAGCCAGACCTTGTACATTGTGGAAATAATTCACAAAAAATACTTAACACATTCACAATTTTAATACTCCAATTATAAACAAAAAATTGTCACTTACTGTTTTATTTCTAAAGGAGGGGCAAAACTAGATGGATTTAAAGGAATATCCAACTCTTCACTACCTCCATTCCTAAAAACTTGTATAACGATGTCTAACAACTGGAAATGTGGTTGTTTTGAGAAAATAAGACTTCATTAAAATTAAGATATTTAAACAATAATTAAAAAAATAGAAAAGCAGAATTATACAATTAAGTGTACAATAATAAGTGAATTATACAATTATACCTAAAATTCTCTAATTTATACATAAAAACATAAAAGTACATCAAGATATCATTCTTATCACAAATAATCAATTATTTTTTATTAATTTACATGCAAAAAATGTGTAAATAACATGAAAAAAATTAAAGAATCTAAAAACTATAGTATAGTGTTCAATAAATAATATAAGCATAGCATAAGTTTAATATAGAGCTTTATTCAAGAGTGATTGTACATTTCAAAGTGAATCACTTATAACGTTGCGCGCCTCTAATTAGCACGCAACCTAGAGGTGACTGTGTAAGCTTGTATAAACCACAGAGTCTTATAAAGGGTTTAAGTCCCTTTTTATTAACGTACTAAATCAATTGCGTCCTCTTGACGCTTACAACTGTGCCAACTAAGGCAGTCAATAAAAATAAAACCTGAAAAGAAGTAAAGACAATATTCGAACTACGAGGCTCTCTAAATAACTAACTCACCGCCGTTTTGACAAAGCCGCAGCTATCAGCAGACTGAAGCTCACTGGAACAATGCAAATACTTCCCGCACGCACATAGGCCGAACGCGGGTTCTTTAATTCTCGATTTCTACCTCCGCGCCGCGAAGTAAGAATAACTCTCTCACCGAACTCGCTTCCAAGTTTCCAAATTCTGGCAGAGGCAAATGTAGGATTATATTTATTTTAACTAACATTATTTTAAGTTTAAACTATCTTTCCTGTCAAGCCTTACTTCCCCTGGAACTGCCAATGCCAGAATATGTAAATTTGAGTAGACGCGCAAGGATTCAAATTATCAGCGGAAGTAGTATGATTTAAAATAGAAGGAAACGAGTTCGGTGAGAGAGTTATTTTACTTAGCGAGCGCGGAGGTAGAAAGCGAGAATTAAAGAACCCCGCGTTGCGGCCTATGTGCTTGGCGGGAAGTAGTGCAATTGTTCCAGTGACCTTCAAGTCTGCTGAATTAGCTGCGGTATTTGTAAAACGCGGTGAAGTTAGTTATTTTAGAGAGCCTCGTAGTTAGAATATTGTCTTTACTTTCTTTTCAGGTTATTATTTTATTTGACTGCCTAGTTGGCACAGTTGTAAGCGTCAAGAGGACGCAATTGTAATTTATACGTTGAATAAAAAGGGACTTAAACCCTTTATAAGACTCTGTGGTTTATACAAGCTTACACAGTCACCTCTAGGTTGCGTGCTAATTAGAGGCGCGCAACGCTATACACTAATATCTATATTTAATTTCTTTTGTGATAATGATTATTTATGATAAAAAATCAAGGAGGTGAAAGCATAAATAACTATCACATTTAAAAATTTAAATGGACCTAAAAAAATTATTAAATTAAAGAAACTGATCTTTTATTACTTAAATATTGGTGTTATTTTAAGCTAATACATACTCAAAAATATGCCCCAAATGAGGAGAAAGGGAATAAAACCACATTTTCTAGATTTAAAAATAGAATATACTACAGTTTATACTGTCATCAGAAAAGAGGGACAATTACCTATAACATATAAAAAAACGTTAAATTAATGTGCCGGAAAAGAATTCTTGGGGCCCCATAAACTATTTTTATTTTAAAAAAAGGTTGGCAAATATGATAAATATATATTCAAATTACCTCATTTAAAAATAATATATTACATGTTGTTATATTTTGCATTTGCTCACTTCATCTTATTGATATAATAAACTAATTTACAAAAAAAAAAAAAAAAATCACAAAAATAGGATAATTCATTACAAAATAATTACAAAATACACCAAATGATACAATATTTGGGTAATTATAGTTTCATCTCTCATCTCAGGTAAAAATGTTTGCAACATGCTTATTAACATGTTCACTGGACTGCAGAACAACAGTACAACATCTGATTAAATAAATGAAAACTAGCATTTTTTATATGTTATGGGTAAGTATAAATGATGATACAAGATCAGCTATACAATGTTCATTCTACAATACTATATACGGTTCTACATTGCAGTTATGTCTATCATGTATTATGTACAGTTACATATGTGGCATTTCCTTTTTAACAGAAATAAAAGATTATACATATTCTTTTAAATAATTAGGTTTTTTTTAACAGTTCTACCAGATGAAGTAGCATACTTATGCCCATTTGTAAGTGATACAACACATTTTTCAGAATTTGGTGGCACAACACTTCTGTTAGGTGCAGTAGAATTTACAGGCAAGTCTAAATTTGGAGTACTCTTACTAATCTGATTTATTTATATCTTCATGTCTTTCATTTTAATAATTGTTTTGCACTGCAAAATCTTTCCAATTAGTTTCTTTAAGAATGTCTCTTCTGCTCCTTTCTATAATTCTTCCATCTGTTCTCCCAATTCTGTATGAACATGGTCTTCCTGTTTCTTCTATATTTTTAGCACTTTCTTTCAGTTTCTTTTCTCTTTCTCACTTATGTACACTTTACGTTATTAAACCATTAAAACCTCTTGTGTTCTTATCATAATAGCATTTTTCTAAAGCTTGACTTTTTAGTAAATGTTACTTATGGTCTTCATGTTGTTTAGTTTGAATGAAATTCTCTTTTATAGATATCAGTCCATTCATTTTTCTTCCAAACATCAATTCTGAAGGTGACCTAATTTTAGCTGAAATAAGAGAATTATGATATTTTAGTAAATATGGATCCTTGATGTCAACTACAGCTTTTTCTAACATTCATTTGACAGTTTGAATATGTCTTTCAGCCGTTCCATTTGATTGTGGATAATTTGGATTGGTTTTAAAATTCCATCTCTTTAAATTTCTTGCAACTAAAATAATCTATAAATATTAGATAATCTCTGCCTTGATAATAAAAGAGATTCACTTCTAGTACTTCCATGGACTATTAGGTATTTTTTTAGATATCATTCGCTCTTTACTATTAGCTTTTTGTAAACTCAAACATGGTGGACAATTCAACACCAAATCTTCAATTTCTCTTGACATTTCTGTCCAATATAATATTACTCTTGTTTTACTCTTGTATTTTTCTACTCAAATGACCATAATGAATTCTACTTAACATATCTTTTTGTAATCTTCTAGGTACAACAACACAGAATTCTTTAAATATTAACACAACTTGCAAGGGTGTTTTCCTGCCAAACTCTCAGTAGGTAGCAGGCGATTTTTTGCAGTTTGTGCGCAAAATTACTTCTGCACAAAATAGCTGTACTTTTTTAATTTAAGTTTTTTTTTTTTTTTAAATTTTAAATAAAACTTTTAGTTTCTCTTTAAAAATAAATTTTTCTATTTGCTTTAAAAAAGTAAAAATACTTGTTCAAAAATCAAAATTTAAAAAAGATTACAATTACTTCTTTTGACAAACAGATTGTTATTTGATTCATGTAAATGCAAGCATTTCAAGAGAGTGACACTTCTTTGTGTTAAGTTTTCTTGTTAAAAAGCTTGTTAGCCTTTTGACCTATCGTCCCATTATACAGGAACTCTTTGAAAACAAAATGTACAGTCATAGTTAATACTTGCAGTCTTTCACAAAAGGAATGCCACTTATCAGTCCAAAAGATGTCACTTCTGCAGACTCGTATCAAATACTGTACTTATATATCCTATCTAATAATTATTGTAGCATATTAACAAATCTTTCATACTAACATACACACATTTCTAACAGATAAGGTTACTATTATAAAAGAATATAGTGGTACCAAAAGTTAAGCACACAATCCAAATGGGCAATTTTCAAAAGTACAACTGAATTTGAGTGGTTGAAAATCGCTGTGGATAGAGATATTGGTATACAGATATCAGTATGCAAATATCGCATGTTACAGATAATCACAGTCATTGACTGTCTGAATATATGCTAATTAGGCAGTTACCGAAGATGCCAACATCCTGAAGGACCTTGAAGAGGTTTATTTACACATATATAAAGTTCTTATAACTTTCATAGGATAATTTTTGATGATACTCATGTTTCTATGACTGGACGCTCAGATAATGAGGGCTAACGTGCTATTAAATGCATTGAAGCAGGATAGTCAATGAAAGATGTCACTCTTTTCTTTGATATTGATCATATGTCAATTTCTCGAATTTGGAAACAATTCCAAACAAGTTGAACAGTTGTCCATTGACCAAGGTTTAACATCCCTTCTAAAGCAAATTGCTCTAGCAGCCAAGCAGTATTGATGACTGACCTCCACAACTATTGCATTCATAGTTGTAGCATCATCTGGTAAGACAGTATCTGTGAGTACTGTGTGCCAAATGCTTCATATAAAGGGATTTTACATTTGAGTATTAATTGTTTACGTTCCACTAACCACCCAATCCGGAGGAGCAAGATTTAAATAGTGCTGGTAACATTTCAATTGGACTGTCTCAAATTGTAATAATGTCCCATTCACTGATGAATCTAGATTTGCCCTGGCATCAGCTTGGACAGTTTGAATAGAATGAGGCACATGCAATCAGGCCCAAAACATCATCAAAACTCATGCATTCAGGGGTGACAGTATCAAGGTCTGGGATAAAATTTCAATATCACACCCAGATACACATGAAAGCTTACACCTGACCATGGGATTACGTTGCAGCAGTTGGTCTAATTTCCTCCTCATGGATAATAATGCCCTTTCCCACTAAACCATCATCATTAATGAGTGCCTAAAGAGTGAGGGAATTTCTCATAGGAAGTGGCTGCCATATTTTCCAATCTCAATCCAAAGAAAGCCTTTGGGATGCTCTCAGGCCTGTTGTCTCTGCACATTTACCTCCTCCAGACAGTTTTAGACAGCTGAAAAATTTTCTAATGGTGGAATAATCATTTCTAGTATCTTCAATGGTCGATCACTTCATTGAAAGTATGGGAAATTGCTGTAGCATTTAATTGAAGTATCTGGATGGTCACATACCTCATTAACATAAGTTTTATTTGTTTGTTTTTAGCTTCAAACATCAATTTGCTGATGACTCGAATGTGACATCACATAATTTATCAAAATTAAATATTATTTTCATCTTTGTAAATAATGTTTGCTTTCTTTTATGAATAAACACATTCCCTACCTTCATGTGCAATTTGGTGTTAATCAAAGCTTTACTCTCCCATTTTGACTGCTATAGTGTGCTTAACTTGTAAGCTAGTGCATACAGTAAATTTTGCTACAACAAATATAGTAAAAATTTTACAATGTCAGCAAGTATAAATATTTGGTAACAATGAAGGCATGTGGAAAGAACAAAATTAATAAATAAAAAACAAGGCTTATAATATGATAATCACTTACAGGTTTATTTATAATCCAAGGACAAAGTGAAAGGCTGTTTAATGAATCAAAACAAGGATTTAGTTGCTGAGTAGGTACTTTTGAATAGTAATTCAGCTGGTGCATAGCATGGTCTGGAAACCGGATGAACGGAACTGGGGAAAAAAAAAATCAGTTATGTTTTCCCTTTCTTTTGTAATATTTTAATTTTACTTTGCTTCATATTCACAATTTTTTTTACTATATTACTCTAGGGAAATTTCATTACAAAAATCATATACATGCTAGTATTACACGTTTGTAAAACTAAAGAAACAATACTGCCAATGTATTCCATATAATATATATTTAGTCATATAATGTATACTTTGACCCAAAAAGGGGGCAGTTCTGTGTCTCCCATTCTACTGAGTTGATTGATGAAATTTAACTTCTTTTTTCCATATCTCGAAAGTGCAACTTAGGATACATATTAGATTTATACATAACTATATATATATGTTCAACTTCAGTATGGATCATTTTTTCATTTAGCACTCACAGAAATTCTGGGAAAAATTGTGAAGAATACAAAAAAGTTTTAGTTAATGATATCCATAAAGGTCATCATTCCTGAATTTCATACAGTCTGAGGTTTGCTGTAGCTATATAAGTTAATGCTAAGTGAGCAAAAATTTGAATGAAACAAAAAAAAAAAAAAAAAAAAAAAAAAAAGTGTTTATCATAAACGGCTATAAAAAGCAGGATGGACTGTAGACCAAATCATGATAAGATTTAACAATTTGGTACTTTTCTGTTTTGCTGGCGCAAACGATAAAGTCACCAATAATGGTACAACTGATGCCAAACGAAATATCTTCACTGGTAACCTTTTAATCTTCATTTTGAAATCATGCCGCAGCCATTTCTTATCAGATTGACTGTTTCTTTCAATACTGGCATACAATTACATAGAATTTTTACTAGTTAAATTTTATGCCGTAAGAACATTTGCGGTAATTAATTAGGATGCAATCACATCACTCACTCAAAGGTGAAAATATAGAAAAAGCAAAATTAAGGGTTAAATTCATCAAATCTAATGAGAATGCACTAGCAAAGTAAAGCACTGGGATTTTACATAATTGAGTAAGCTATTCGTACAAATTGAAATAATTCTTGCATTTAAACTTGTATTTCTAAGATTTAATTTAAGATTTAACTTGAAGTTAACGTGGATAATTACTGAGAGAATTAGATTTTTGTAGCGTAGTTTACGTGAGATAAGATCACTTGGGGTCACATCATATGAACTGGCAAATCAGGCTGTTGAACCATGAAAGCATAGTAAATTCTTAAATTAGTCCTTCACAATTTATTGTCTTTTTATTGGCTTTTTACAAAATTTTAAACCTTAAAATGTTTATGCCTTCAAAATATAAATTTTTAGAACTAACATTTGTTAACATTTTTTATGTGTAAACTGTACGCTGTCGCCAACAAAGTCTGCTTGGCGAGATTTGTGCCGGCGAAACGGAAAAGTACTAACATTTTGTTCTTCAATTAAATGGAAATTTCATAGTAAATAAAATACTCAAACAAGAACCAGTATAAAAATTACAATTAATTTACTGAAAAATTGTTGCACTATGGTTTTAATTAAGGGAAAAAACTCCACTGCTTTGAAGTAGCAAGTAAAGAAATATACAGAAATCAACATTGAAAAACCAGAAGTTCCACTAAAACATTTGCTATTATTTTTGAAAACAAAATTTGCAGAAAATTTATTTTATTCAATAAAAGTTCATTATAAAAAATACAGCCAGAATTATACAAATATTATAAAACACTCACTAAATTCAACTTTTAAAACTTTGTGCAAAATTTGTTTCCTACGCATAATAATAATTTATGTCCGCACAAATACAAGGTGACCCAAAAAGACCACATAAACTCTGCACAGCTAGATTTCTCGTTGGGAATACATAAAAACTGCCCAAAGATGCATTCCTGTACGATCCATAGTTTACGAGAAAAATACGAAAAACAAAGTATGACGTCACTCAGTGCAAGAAAAAAACACTTTATTGGACATATAAACAACAATATTGGCATATCTTTCCAGAGGATAATGTTTAAAACATTTGTCACGCATATTGTGTCATGCATGAGTGCACACCGTGGAATGACGTTAAGCTCCCGTTGAACTGGTATTTAAAAGGCTGCATCTTGCAGCTACCGGTAGTCTTCGTATGGTGGCCATGTATTCCGTTCGTGACTACTGTGACATGTACTTGATGTACGGCCGATAAAATGGAAATGCCTTATGAACTGCTAGGGAGTATATCCGTCGATATCCGTCTTGCCATCCTCCCAATGTCAACGCCATCCGTAGGCTGGACGACAGACTACGAAATACGGGAAGCATCTTGCGAACAGCCAATTTTCACGATACTAGAAGACCATGGAGCAGTCTGATAGTAGCACAGGCGGATGCAATACTGCAGCGAATAGGAGAAATGCCTGAGGTAAGCCCATGCCCATTAGACCTTGAGATGACTTCGAGTAAAAGTACTGTGCACATGCTTGTACGGTCTGAGAGGCTACATCCATTTCAGTACATAATCGTGCAAGGTCTGAAACCAGATGACTTTCAAAAACGTGTAGCCTTCTGTGAATGGCTGTTGCAGCAACAAAGCACAGATAATGGTTTCATTGTACATATCCTGTGGACTGATGAATCCTGTTTCACTCATGATGGGGTATTCAACCATCACAACAGCCATATGTAGTCCCAGGTCAATCCACATGCAATCCGGCCGCAGAAACATCAGGAACGTTGGTCTCTTAACATGTGGGCCGGCATACTCAGGGATCACCTGCTTAGACAATATCTGTTGCCTGAATGGCTCTCGGGACAGTCGTACTTATTGTTTCTCAATGAGGCCTTAACCAAGTTCCTCGATGACATACCATTAGCGGCAATACAGGGACTTTGGTTCCAGCATGATGGGGTTCTGGCACATTTCTGTGCTCCTGTAAGTGATTGGCTGGATATGGAATACCCCGGCCGCTGGATCGGACGTGGGGGTCCAGTTCTATGGCTGCCACATTTGTGAGATATTACACCATTGGATTTTTTCCTATGGGGCCATCTCAAGGAATTGGTGTATTGAGATGTAGTGACAACACCAATGGACTTAGCTGCTTGTACTTCAGTGGACCCCGAGATGCTGCAACGTGTGATGACGGCCATTCAACAGCGTGCTCAAGCCTGCCTCGTAATGCACGCTGGACACTTTGAACATCTGCTTTAAATTGTGCATGTACTGATATTGATATGTTCAATAAAGTGTTTTTTCTTGCACCGGCCAGTGACGTCATACTTTGTTTTTCATATTTTTCTCGTAAATTATGGATCGTACAGGAACGCTTCCTTGGGCAGTTTTTATGTACTCCCAATGAGGAATCTAGCTGTGCAGAGTTTATGCGGTCGTTTTGGGACACCCTGTATACTTAGGCACTTAAAATTATTCATGATTTTGATGCTGAATTTCTTTTCAGTTTAGTTCATATATTTCCATTTAAATTATTTTTTTATCTGAGCAACAATATATTTTACATATATAATCAAGAGAAAGTAATAATTAATTCAGAAATTACAACATAAAGCTGGATCAGCATTCTAACAGGAAATATACACATCCAAAATGAAAACAAAAATAATTCAATATATTAATATAACATGACAAAATAATAAAAACATAAAAATATACAAAAATTGTTCACAACTTCTTGGTCTTTTTGAAGGAGCAGATGAAGAATTTTCAACAGTTATATTTCTGAATTATATGTGGATGATTGCAAATTCTTGTCACAATTCAAAATAAAGTAGCAATTAATTAAAATAAAAATTAAGCACTAAAAGTGCAATAACGTAAAAAACTATTTTTTAAAAATATTTAATTTAATTATCATTAAGATATAATTTGCTCCAAGCTACCCTAAAATAAGTAACGTAAAATAAAAATTATAAAGAGAATGAATTAAAACAATTTACTAAAGTTAAAATATTAATAATTAAGCCATTAAAGTTCCTGAATTGAGGAAAAATGAATATATATAAAACTAAAGGCTTTTAGTCTAAAATGGAGAAAGGAATAACAAAATATAAATTTAGAAAGGCAATATGCCTAAAATTGAGAAAATTTAAAATAAAACTGAATCAATGAATTCAAATAAATAAATCTGAATGGAAATTAAAAAGAAAATAAAACATGAAAGCAATTGTGTGATAAAGGGTAATGGGCTGAAATAAAAATAATTAAAAGCAATAACAGATTTCAGATGTTAAGAGGTAGCTTGCAAACATGGTAACGAAATTGTTGGAGACTGTAAACTGAATAGGAATCAATTTCTTTTAATTAAATTTTATGATCTCTACATATAATAAAAGAAAGAGTCTGTCTATGTGTCAGTGTGTGTGTGTCTTTCATTCGTGCTGCGCGTAAGCTCTAGACAAGAGCCAGTGCACCTCAAAGCGATTTTTTTAGAAATTCGAATTCAAATTTTTTTTATTTTATGTTTTGTGACAAAATCGCATCATTTTGAGACATTACGGGCTATAGGAATGCGAGATTTTACCCTACACACTCCATTTTCACATCGTCATGAAACGTAGGCACTTAGTTATTTTACGAACTTAAAAACAATTTCGCATTTCAATAAATTGATTAAATACGAATTTATTTAACAACGTGAGCTTAACACCTTTTTAACGGGATTTTTTCTAAAAGAGTTTATTCTTAAAAATGCACAGTTTATTTTTCTTTGGTTTTTGGAGACGTTAACTTTCATCCTTGCGAGGCTTTTTACAAAGAATTTTGGAAAAAGGATAATATTTTGTATTTTTAAAAAATTTTAAATGAAGCTTCCAAGTACACTTCTGACATCTTAAAAATGTGATTTTTGGCAACAATTTTCCTTTCTTATAGTTGTGATAGATTTTGATGAAATCGCATCATTTGAATAGTTTCATTCTTTAGAAATATGGGTTTGGCAACAATTTTTTATTGTATTTCTTATGTCACTGTTAAAAGATTGGCATATTTCTTGTCATTTTTTTATATATAATACTTTTTTTTTCATAAGTTGTTGTGAGAGTAAATTCTGGGCTGAATTTTTGTTTTTGGTTTCTTTCATTATTTTTTGCTTATTTCACTATTTGTAGATATTGAAAAGTTTCGCATGATTTTTTTTTCTCAATGGCAAGTTGGAATTTTTTTTATTAGGATAATAATATTTGTATAAAGGGATATAGCTTATTTGATGTAATTTTTTTATCTTGAAATATAAGATAAAATATCATTAATTATACTTTGCTTTTCAGAATTTTTTGTTTTTTTATTCTTTTATGTTTATTGCTCATTTCACTGTTTTAAGATATTGAAAAGTTGAGTGATTTTTTAGGAACAAAGTCTTAACTCCTTTATCCTTCAGTTCTTAAGATTTTGCAAAAGAAGTTGGCTAATTTATTTTAGGATAATTAATATTTGTATTAAGGGATATTGCTTATTTCATTGTAATTTTTATATAACTTTTTTTTATTGTTTTTATTGTTTTTATAAGTTGTTCTCAGAAAATTCTACGCAGTTTTTAAATTTAACGTTGGTGTTCCCTTCAGCCTTTTTCCCGACATTAAAGCCAGATGAAGGCTGGCAGTGAAGCTGCTAGTAGAAAAAAGTTAAATTTCAAAACTGAATTTTAAAACCTTAAAAATTAATAAATCATCTTTTAAAATAGTGGATAAATTGCGGAAAATAAAAAAAAATTTTTAATTTTTATTTGCAAATTAAAAAGTATACTGTGTTTGAAAAAGTTTAATTTTTGCATGTAGTAAAAAGGAGTAATATGTGGATAAGAAAAAAAAGTTGTGAGAAGGAAAAACAAGCTAACACTAATAACGTCTCCACCTATGTGGTATATAAGAGGACTGGAACAGAAATGTCCATTTGCTATTAACAGAGATAGAAGGACCGTTAATAAATTTACAAAAAATATTTAAAATTGTTAAGCATCCAGTAAATACTTCTAAACTTGGTTTAAGTAAATCTTAGCATAAGTAATAAAAAAACTTAAATGATCTAATATGCAGTATGTGGAGAAGTAAATTAATAAACTTAAGTGGAATTTGGTTTTCAATAAGTGTAATATTACTTCAGCTGTAGTGTAAATACTTTTAATTCTCAGAATCTGGTTTATAACGATGTTTAGAAATACTTTTTTAGAAATATTGAAATGTATGAGTATTATGGCAGGAAAGTTAAAAAGTCTTTCTTTTATCAAAAAGTTAAATTTCTTTACAGTTGAGAATTTTAAGGCCAAGATTACAATTTTAAGGTTTTAATTTCATTATTATTGAAAATTGTTTTATGAAGTTTTAAATATTTGAGATAAATATTAGCTACTTCAATTAGCCAGAACTACTGAAAGTGATAAGGCCATCTATGTATCTAAAAGTAAGATTAAGTTTTTCAACTTGATGACAATTTTTTATAAAATTGAACTCTTGCAGGAAAAAAAAAAAAAAAAGCGTTGCAAATGAAAGTTGAATAAAGAATGCCCATGGAAGTGCCACTAATATGTAGAAATGTTTTAAATGATTAATACTTGGAAATAATACATAAAGTTTGATAAGATTATCGTTAATTTCGTTTAATAGAAGACAGGTGAATAGGTTTTTGTAAACGTAACTGCTAATATCTTAATGTAATAATTTTAAACTGTTTTGATAATTTTTCTAAGATAATGTCTATGTTAATTCTCTAATTTTTAAAACCAATGGTAATAAATCTGACTTTGATATTTTATGAAATTCTGGAAGGGCATTAAGATTGGGAAATTATTATTATTATTTTTTTTTTCATGTGGAAGGTGTTTATTTTTTTTTAAATTTTTTTTTATTCTAATTGGAAGTTTTGAATGTTATATTTTTATTTATTTATGTTTCAATTAGCTCATAACTGAAAATTTATGTAAGATTAATATATAATAATAAACTTATTTGCACAGTCTCTTAAATATGTTTGCCCACTGTCTTCAAAATTTTATTTTAAAAATGTAATGACACTAATTTAATTCTTTGAAAACAAGTGTTGTTGTGTTAGTTTTTTTTTTTATGTTGACTAATGAAAATGTTTGGCTAACTCCCCCCAAAAAAAGAAGGGTTTCAATTAAATATGTTAAAGGTTTTTTTTTTTTTTTTTTTTTTTTTTTTTTTTAACATTTTGTGTGTTACATTTATTTTTTAAATATCACATTCTTTGCACCTTAACCATAAAATTCAGTTCAACAGCAATATCGCGAAATAGTTTTAAAATGGGCATATCTTTAGAATTTCGGATACAAAGAGATAAAAACAAGATAAAAATGTTTTTTCTGTACATTGTTTGCTTTGAAATCCTTGAGTTTATTAATTAAAAATTCGCTAAAGTTTTACAAAATATGAAATCGATAATAAAACAAATTCAAAATTTCAAATTTGGGCTTTCACATGCTCATATTCGCAATGGGATTACGTCATTCAAAATTCGATGGCTCCAAGTACCGTTGTTTTATCACAATGTGAGAAATATACATACATTTATGGCAATTTTTCATTACTTAATTTCTTCAAATATAATGCAGGACTCTAACATTTGGTGGCAAGAGTTTGAAAAGTGAAATGGACATTTATAGTGAACAATTCAAAATCTCAAAACGAAAACAATAGTCCTTCAGGGACAAAGCCCCTTTGGACTAAAAAGAAGAAGAAAGGGAGAAAAAGGAAAATATTTAATCATTTAATTCAGCCACACATGCAAGTTTATTCTTCTATCATGCTTTATCATCATGATTTCAACATTTTCCAAATCATTTTATTTTCTGAATTAAAGATTTGTTGATTTAAGTTTGTTTTTATAAACTAAAAGTATCTAATAAAATAGGTTTCTCTCATTATTAAATATTTTGTTTTAGTTTAACCCAAATTTTAATCTTTATTAATTACCTTATATTGTTGCAGCTTTATGCATTTTTAAAGTAAATTATGCATTACATTTTTTAATATACATAGCAGGCAAAGGTATCATTTAATTTAAACTTCTTTAAGTTGCTCTGAATTTCCAATCCATAAGAGAGCTAATTAAGCAGCAAATGAAAAAAATCAAAAATAAACATATAGAACCTGAAAGGAGAGAATAAATCATTGAAATAAAACAACATTATACAGAATACCTAAAAGTCAAGAAATAATTTCTACCAAGTACAAATGAAAGTAAAAAATGATTTAAATACAATGAAAGACCTCAGAATGAACTTACCTTTAGTTACAAGAAGGCCCCCAAAATCATATTTAACCCAAGGCCGTGGAGGAGATAACATTGGTACTACATTGACATTGAATTCTAAATAATCAAGTTTAGCATCTCTGTATAGTTTACAAAGTAAAGGATGAGCCTAGAAAGAAAGAAAATAAATGAAAAATATTTTAATTGTGTAAACCAAAAGAGCAATTCAAATGCATAGATATAACTAGAAGAATATCTGATAATATCAAATTGTACATTTTACATAAAAACTGTATTACACCAGATAATACAGTTGTACTAAAAAAAATATCATATAAAAGCAATTTGGAAATATATTCATCAATATTTACACAGCAAAAAGTTTTAGGGGGAAAAACTGTAGTGTGTAAACTATTCAGAAATATATTTAAAATTTAATTGAATACCATAGATTATATATTTTGCTTTATTAATTACAGAATAACAGAAAAAGAAATTAAATAGAATTAGTTATAAAAATATGCAATATATATTGTTACTGAGCAAAATTACTGTTATTAATAATTTTTTTTACATTTAATGCAATTTAAAAAAATCTGTAAGACATATTATATTAAAAAATTCAAAATAATTTTAGATTATTCTGTACCAGAAAATTCTAGACAAAAAGCAGCTTTATAAAGTCAAGTTATCAAGTTACGATTATGTGAGACCTCAGAGCCCTTCAGAGTTTTGGAATTCTTTGTCTGGAATTCCTATATAATTTTCCCATTATTATAAAATTAGATGGAACTGAGGCAGATAGTCCTAATTTGCTCTGTTTCATTTAAACAATATAATTTTACACATGAATTCTAGATAAAAAATATAGAATTCTTCACACAGTTAATTTTTTTAGACTTTGAAACCTTCTAAAATGAATAACCTGTTGAAGCTTATGAAATTACTTTCAACAAATATGAATGATTCTTTATAACAAAAACAGCAAATAAAACTCTTACCCTTATTTGTTTGTAGAGTTTAATATCCTTTGTTTCATAAACTGTATAAAATGCTTGACTCATAAACCTAAAATATGATAAGCATATTAAAGAACCACTACATGCTACAGATTAATCTTTGCATTACATTTATATAAATACAAATTCTTACTTCAAAATTTCTTTTCTCAAATTAAACTTCCCTGAATTAATTTACCAAATATATTTTTTAAAATTTATATGCTAAAACTTTTCTTATTCTGTTCAATATTCAAGATAAATATTGCTAGCCTAACTAAATTCAACATATTCAATAGATTGAAAAAGCTATAACAGAAAAGTGAATCAAATCTGCAAATTTAGCTTAAAGTTAGTGATTTGGAAATTTAAGAATATAAAATGGATAACATATTTCACCCAAAAAGTTGAAATTCTTAACTAGTCAAAAATAATATGAAATATTTGAAAAATGTTTGCATTCTTACTTGCTTGGATGTTTGTGACGCACAGCATTTGCATTAAAAGCGATGTTGCGCACCAAAATATCATATAAACACTTTCCTATCTAAAGAGAGAGAAAATGACAGATTATACTTATTTTTAATCTATATTTATAGCATTATTAATGATTTACAGAACTATGAGGAAAATTAAGAAAAAAAAATCCTTTTTTCATAAATAAATAAATGGGGTTTCAGTTCTGACACTACACTCTGCCTTCTTTTCACTTATTCCCAACTTCATAAAAACCATAAAAGTTTCCTAAAAGTTACAAATGACAACAGAATACATAAAAATGATTCCATAAACAAATTATTTCTGGAAAGAAATGATTGGAATTTTCAAATTAGTTGCATTTAAAAATGACATATTTCAAACTTAAAAAATAAAAAGGTACTTACATGAGTTAAAACACTGTAGGACCACAAGCATTCAGAAACATCCTGAAAACAGTTAAAACAAAATCTAAATAACATATAAAATATTACTAATCAGGAAACAACAACAAAAAAATTACTATTGGTTTCTCAATTAAATAAGAGTAACATGCTGAATAACAATTATTAGAAGTTCAAACAACAGTAATTGATTACTGTTGTTTGAACTTCAAGTAATTGCTTTCTCAATTAGTCAACTATTATAAAAGACATGGGGAATTCCCTATATAGTATGTATATGTATTTCACAACAGTAAAGCTATTTGGTTCATATGAACTAGTGCAGTATCAGTATTTTAGCAGCAAAGCTTACATCATTTTTATCTACATATTTGAATGTTTACTGGTACATTTTCAACATTTATATTTTTTGTGGCATTTTTATAATTTACGTAAGTTTAAGGTTTTATAATGCCAAAGATTTGAAAAAAAAAAAATAAATAAAATAAATAAATAAATAATAAATAAATAAAAAAAAGTTATTTTTTTAGAAACAAAAATTAAAATACTAGATCGTCTACGTAATAGAGAAAGAGTAACAGATGTTGATAAATTTTACTCCATGAATGAAGCTACAATAAGGACAATTAGAAAAAGTGTAGCAGTAGCAGCTGGAACTTGCAGCAGTAAGAGCACAATTTCATATGTAAGAGATGATACAATGGACAATATGGAAAAGGCATTAGTGATATGGATAGAAGGCCAAAATCAAAAACGGATTCAAATTGATACTAATGCTATTACAAATAAGGGTTTAAAGATTTATAAAGCACTTAAGAATCAGTTACCGTCGACTTTGTCAGATGATAAAAAGGTATCATTTTCCGCAAGTTATGGTTAGTTTGAGATATTTAAACAAAAACATTCTTTACATAATCTAAAATTGAAAGGAGAGACTGCATCTGCTAATCCGGATGCAGTACAACAATATCCAGCAAGATTTGCTGAAATATTTGCCGCCAACTCCTACACTTCTGATCAGATCTTCAATGCTGATAAGTCTAAGTTGTTAAAAAAAAAAAAAAAAAATGCCTGAAAGAACCTATTTAGCTAAAGCCTGCAAATCACCTTATGGTAATAAGGTAACGAAAAGTCGTATAACAATTCTTTTCTGTTGCAACGCTTCAGGCGATTATATAATGGAACCATTAGTTATTAAAAAAATCAAAAATGCCACGCTCATTTAAAGGAGTAAACATAAATAACCTTTCTGTTTATGGATGGCTAATAAGAAAATATGAGTCTGCTATAGCTTTTAATGAATGGTTTCATAACATGTTTGCCCCAGTTGTCAAAAACTATTTAAGTAAAAAGGGATTGCCTCTTAAGGCTCTTCTATTAATTGATGATGCACCTGATCATCCTCAAGATTTACAACATGAAAATGTAGAAGCTGTCTTCACAAATACAACTTCCTTATTACAGCTGTTAGATCAAGGAATAATTTTGACTTTTAAGGCATTGTATTTCAAACAAATTTTCAGGTATATTTTAGATCAAATGGAAAATGATGAATCTGTTACTCTTATGGATGAAATTTACAATCTTAGATTCTGTTAAGCATGTTAGACTGTCATATACTCAGATTAAACAATCAAATGCTCAACGCATGCTGGAAAGCAATATGGCCAGATGCTGCTAAAGATTAGAATGATAAATTACCATTAGAGCATGAATATTCTCAGATAACTAAATTAGCCCAAACTATAAGAGGAGACTACTTTAGCTCAGGCAGATATTAAAGAAATAATGGCTGATGAAGAACTAAATGAGGATGAGTTACTTATCATGATTCATGAAACAAATAAACATGATGAAGACAATGATTCTGACGAAGGGCGATCTGAACTAGTTGCGTTCACAGCAAGAGTCGTCAGCGTAGGACTTGAATTGGGAGGAAAATTAGGTAATTATTTTTTATAATATGACAGGAAAGTTTAATAAGTTCTCCAATTCCAACAGGAGCTTAGTAAGCGTTTAAATCAATACGAGGAGGTTTACAAAGATTTAGGAAAGAAACCTTGGCAACTGTTAATTATGCATTCCACTACAAAGTCTTGTCGTTCTGAGATATTATCCAATTCGTCAACCATTGAAGAAAAATCTTATCAAGATCAAGTGATGAACGTGACATCATACCAATCAAGAAGAAAAGACTAATAGTTCAAGAAAGTGATGACAGTGATTAAACTTATAATAATTTATTTGAATGATCTTATATTTTCCTAATGTAAAATAAATTAAATATGTACTTCTATTACCTACATATATTTGTTATTTTATGAACGAAGTATAATATTTATTTTAAGATGTCTTACTTTTGTTTTATGTAAATAAATAAATAAATTATGTACATATAGTGTGTTTTTCGTTTTACATGGCTTTACATAGCAAAATCCAAGATTTCGATTTACATGGTCTTGTGCGAAACATATCTTCCATTAAAATCGAGGTATAGGTGTACATCTTATCTTTAACTATGGAAGTAAGATGACCATCTGAAGGAGACAGGTTGAAAGCTTTTCATAATTTGACGATTTATGAATTAGATTTACTCTTTGATGTTCAATATGAAATTTCCCCTTTCATTGAGTCTTGCTGTGAGTTTTCAGAAGTCAGCAGTTTTACTGTTCACTGCTGAAATACGTTTCTAATTTGTTCAACAGATGGCAGATACTTGCCAAGCACCTTTTGCAATTCCATCTTGTCAATGCATATGCCAGGGTTGGCCAAACTTCATGTCAGTAAGAGCCGCACGTTTGAATTCAGGAATGTTTGAGAGCTGCATCTAGATTTTTCTAAAAGCCACAAGTTCATATTTGCATCATTATAGAAGTAGTGGATGAGGTTTTAAATAGAAAGAAATCCCTGATAACTTTGTAAAAAAGAGTCTAAACTAATTAATTACTTCTTTTTGCACACTGAATAGTTTTAGTTTACCATATTTCATACATATATTTAATATGCATGAGCTGCACAAATTGCCTGCGAGAGCCGTATCAGGCTCAGGAACTGCACTTTGGCCACCCCTGGCATATGCACATAAAAGTATATTATCGTGAAAAATAATATTCTTTATTTTCCAACATGATGCACAGGGTATATGCAAGGATCTAAATCTGTTTTTGAACATATCATGATTGTAATTACCACATTAAATCATGGCATTCATAAGATAAAACACATCAGAAGGGTAAAGAACATTTTGGTTGTTCAGTAAAAAGGAATGCAAGCCCTGAAAGTAAAAAAGAATTCCATTGCATGCAGCCATCACAAAAGCTTATACAGGGTTTGTAAACATTTCTGCACATGGAAATTAAGTACCTTTAAGGATCATTAATGAAAAAAAATAAGGACCTATGAGCAAATGGGAACTGAATAAATTGAACTCAAGATTGAAGATATTATCTATGCCTGAATTTCACTTTTGTAATACCATCCTAAAAATAAAATAGATTCCTAAGTAGTAAGCATTATTACTAAACATAAATTAATTAACATATTGTTAAAAGTTTGAGAATAAAATAAACTTATGCAATTATCAAGTTAGAATTAAATATTTTACACTTATAATAGTTGGTCATATTTGAAAAGAAGATAAGTGACATTTACATTTTACTAACACTTAGTTTACATGATTTTATTTTTTTTTTTGATTATTATGTCTCATTTTTGTCACATGCTTGGTCAGTTCTAGAGGTTTTAAAAAACAGTAGATTTATGTCAAACTGCATAGGTTAAAATGAATGTAAGATCATAATCAGATGATTCATAACAAAAGATTAATGTTGTCACTGCTTGCTGCTTGTCTAGAAAGACCTGCTGATTAGAACAGACCTGAAGCTTATGAGGCAAGGTTGGCAAGTGTTGAAAGTTAGTCAGGCTCTGTTTGATGCAGTTAGTGTTCTAGCTTGTACAGTTCCAGGGGTTGTAACCCATTAATATTTAAGGTTCCAATAAGCCATTAAAGCCCAGAGGGGAAGTTGTTTTGTATTATTTTAAGTCTCAGAGATGCATTATTTTTTATAAACACAACAGTGAACAAAATATTTATCTGTCATTTTAATTTGAAGTCTTCCCAGACATTTTGTGCAGTTTATATCGATTTCCTTCTCTTTAAAGCATTTTTGTCTAACAATTAGAGATTTGCCTCAATATGCAAACCAATTCTCTGGCTAGTTTCTGCGTGCTTTATCTCCTAACTTGTCAACCTCTCCACAATGGAACTATGAGGGTTTAATTGATCTGGTAGAAGTTAAATATTCCAAAACCCCCAACAGACATGAAGCATATTATCGCTATGTCTGAAATTAACTACAATATCAAACAAAGGTTTAAATAAGCCTCTTATTTAAAAAAGAATTTAGAACATAAAGGTATGTTCTGATGCTAAGAAAATCAATTACAGCTCACAGTGACATATTAAACAGACATCAAATTCAAACTAATAATGGGACTAACGGTCAAAGATTATACAATTTAATTTAATTTTAATTTGCTCAATACTCTATCATATGAGGAAATAAAATGGGAAATTATGTAAAGGTTGAAATACCAATTGGGTAATTTACATAATAATACTGCCAATATCTTGAAGAATAATTCCTTCGATCAGTTTCTTTTCTTTTCTTTCTTCAACACTTTTCCTTTCCACATTTTAGAATTTTTGGATTTAATTAAGATTTCTGTTATTCTAAACAACACTAAATGCATTTAGAATGTACAGAAAAAGCAGCTAATTTTATTTCTTTAGTAACATGAACATTTAGAAGCAATACGAAATATACATAGTAAAGGCTGGTTACAGAGATGATGTGGCATAATTTCTGGAATTTAGTAACACACCGAACAACAAAATAGAACGGCAAAACTTTTAGAATTTAGAGCAGGCATTGAAGCAATTTAGAAGAGGCACTAGGCAGCAGATTTTAGGATCCACAGGATGCATCAGGTGAGAAAATGCTTATGTGTATGATGCATAGAAATATAGATGAATCTTTTAATTG